GTCCAATGCATATAAAACCAGAGATGGGGGCCTGCTCCCCACGGGTTTGGCGTACCGGGTTGTGAGCCAGGGCAACCAAAAACCCGGCAACGTCGGGGGTGAGCAAGAACGTTTTGACTGCAAATGGACACTGGTGCATCCACATCAGCAGGACAATCAGACGCGAAGCTTTGGAGCGCGGGTCGTTGGCACTGGCCAGCGACATGACAATCATGCTCAGCAGAGTAGAGCGCTCCGTTGTATTGTTGGGCGTCAACGCCACCTTGAGCAATGTCTCCTACACACGCACACCATCATCAGCACACCCATGGTCACGGCCAGGAGTGCCAGACCCTTGTGGGGAGGGTGCGAGGTACATACGCGACAGGCTGTGCTCCCAATCACCAAATGCGCCAGGGCTAGGCCGCAAAGCCAACTGATGGTGCCCTTGTTTGTACTCAGAATGCCTTGCACCAAGAGAATGCATGGATTTTGAGATGGCGGTACGCTTGTCCCAGCCATCAACAAATTGGTCAGCTCCTGCTGCTTCTACTCCACCATGTATTCCCATGCCGAGCCACGCCAGAGTGAGGTTGTCACATGAAAGCCAAGACCACAAGGAGATTGCATCTCGACACCACCGCGGCCCAGCAAGAGGGGCGAGCGTGCTTGCTGATTCACAGAAACGCACCGAGCTGCTATCGTGGACACAGGACTCGAAAATGTACATGGCAGCACGTCGCGTGTCAAAATCATACGTCTCTGTGAACGCAATGGCAGCCGCACGATACAGCCACGAGTAGTTGGCACTGGTCATGACCGCTTGGTTCTCCGGGTGACCTGCGCAGGGGCATCGCTGGTTAAGACTTGCTGGGACGTTTAACAATCCACACCAGCACCAGCGTGGGGCGGCATGTTCAACGGACCACGGATGGTTTCGGCAACTGCCAACAGGGCCTCCTCGCGTTTGGGCAGGGAGGAAGCTAGCGACAGGTTCATGAGCTGCTCCAAGAGACCACAACTTTGCACGGTCGCCTGCGCAGCCAAGCGCGAGTTGGGGGTGTTGGTGGGCGAAACCAGCAGGCGCACAATGTGCAGCATGGCTTGGATGTTATCCACGGTGGCTTCGGGCCATTCCTGTTTCTGAAAGGATTCGAGCACGGCAAAAAAGCCGGGGATCTTTTGCACGCAGCTATGTGTGTGTGTGAGAGAGGGAGAGCGGGCGACATGAGAAGGTGGGCGCACAGAGAAGAAAACATGGTGTACGGCCGACAGCCAAGTTGGGTCGTACCTCAGTTCACGAAAGTAGTTTTGATTGGATGGGTTGAGGTACAATAGGTTATGCATCAAGCGAAGGCAATCAAGCACAATGACGCCACCATCGCAGTGACCCTCCTAGACGAACCAAGGACCAATTGGCGATGCAAGCATTTAGGTGTATCAGCGTGCTTTGAGGAACAGGAATGAACGGGCCTGGGCACATTGTTGGGAATGTATTCACAACTGATACCTCAGCAATGATGCGAAACATTCGCTCGAAGGCGTTTTCAAAAGCCACAATTTTTTGCACGTCTGCATTGCCGCGGGTGAGCTCGTAGATGATCAAGAGACCCTGGGAAGGCAGACAAGCGACGCGGTCCCATCAGTAAGCCCTTGACTGCGGCCGTGCAAGCGCCAACAAGCCCACGCCGTTGTCACGCGCAAGAACCTGATTGCGGATGACTTCGCGCCGATCGTCCAGCAGGTCCATTAGGCGTGAAATGCCGACGGGCTGCTGGATAATGCATTGCTGTGTTCAAAGACATCGCGCCAAATATGAGTTAAAGAGAACGCGGGATATTGTATGCGCACACTGCCCCTCGCTGCTGCAACCACACGCACACGCACAGACACAGGCACACAGGCACACAGACACAGACACAGACACACACACACGCGTGCGCGCCACTCAGCTAACCTGCATCTGCTTGGGTCGATTCTCAAGCAGGATGGTGAGGAGTCGTGATAGATTGTAGCTAGCAGTCCAATTAAAAACGGGGTGAAACCACAATCTTCTTGCCTGGCACAGCGACTGATGCGCTTCAGAGTCTGGTGAGTTTGAGAACATGATAGCTCTACGTACCGCACATGAAAGTCAACGGTGCTGAGCCGCGAAAGAAGAAGTAGAACATTGTCCTATGCATGGGCATAAGACAACAACAACAACAAAAAAGTGCAATCAGCCATAGGCAGGGGTTTTTGGTCCAAGGTGCATGCAGGAACTGCTGGTCAAATGTGTGGCGCAAAGTGCAACAAAACAGGAGGATGATGGGACCTACCGTATCTTTGACAAACATTTCTGTAAACATGATCCCAACATCACCATCATCATTCTTGTCCTGTCAAGGTCGAGGTCGGGGTGAGCGTGCTGATCCAAGCCAGTGGGAGGAAGCGCGAGGGAGCGAGCCGAAAGCATGAAAGGACAACCTTGGCAGTGGTGACTTGGATCAAGGCCTCCAAGGCATGGTTGGCAATCTCTGTATCCTGATGGTCGTGCCGCAAGACGTCGACCAGGTGTGTCATGCCTTGAGAACCAACTTCAACCTGATACTCTTTGGCCAGTGCGCGCAGGCCCTGGACGGCGGAACGGCGATCCTCAAGCAGCGAAGCCGACTCGAGCCGCACGCAAAGTTTTTCCACCTATACCATGATATCCGGCAAGAAATCAGATCAAGATGGCTAGACAACTGATGGAACCAGTCGCATGCAGCCTGTGTGGCCGAGCGGGCAATCGTGGGACGAACCGTCTCAGCACCCGTGACGGACGCATCGGGGCGATCCCCGCCAAACATGCTCCCGAACATGATGTGTGGTTCCACCAATCAGGCAGACCTTTGGGACTTTAGACACGAAAAGGCAAGGGAAAGAACCAAGAGGCGCAATGGGTGAGGTGCAGTCCTCTGAGCGTAACAGCGCGACACGAGCGGATTGTGAGCCAACGTCAGCTCCAGAAACAGGAATGCCCCCATGCACGCAAGCTCACAGACCCAACAAAGATCCACAACCCCCCACTCCCTTTAACCTGCTCCAACACTACCCTCAGGCCCCAGCCACACTCAGCGACACCTCGTCCCTGCCCCAGACCGCCAAGAGACCGGACGCGCGCGCAGCCAGCTCGGCCCTTGCCCCCACTGTCACGGACACGTACTGAAAGCAGCCACCTCCGACAAATCCGGAAAAAAATACGGTGTTACATGCGATAGTGTGATTTGAAGCACACTTTTATACACTCAAGCAACGTGTCACTATGGCACCAAGAGCCTGGTCAATACTGTTGTATCGACGAATTGGTAACAAAAACACGCTGGAGGCCCGTGTCCCATCGCATGATTTACCGAACAACAGCTGTTGTCACATCTAATTCATTCTGTCTGACAAGTGATCGGTCGCACAGAAAATTTTGACGACGAACCACCCAACGGGGTGTGTGTGTGTGTGTGTGTGTGTGTGTGTGTGTGTGTGTGTGTGTGTGGTATCATCAGTGAACCTCCTGCTCCTGCTCCTCCGCCGCCGCCGCCACCTCCTCTTTCCTCCTCCTCTTTCCTCCCATCGGATCACTTTCTTTGCCCGCGGCACCAGAGGGTGGGTGTGGCATTGAACATATCGTTGTGCGGATCGGATCTGTATCGACGCGCAACAGGTTGCTTGGGTATGTCACATGCTGATGATTGTTGATTTGATGGAGCTGCCACATGTGCACCGCCGTGTGTTGCCGTGTTGGCCAATTCAGGTCGCCCTTCCTAGGCATGGTCAACTGACTAACAGGGGCGTGCTCAATCCGATCTAGATTGTCAACATCAGGGCTAGTCCGTTTCCGTTTCTTGGTGTTTCACCCGCACCTGTCTGGACCTCAAGCTGCGTGCGATCACGCGGCGTCCTGGATGCCCTGAGAGTGAGCTTTGCGTCTGCTCGTTTTGCCGCCGTCCGGGCAGCTGGGCTTAATTCTGCCCCCAATCCTCTCAACACCGCCCATCTACGCATGCCATTGATTTGCGCAGCAACGCTTGGCGCCTGGGTGGTCATCACCGGCCGATATGCTTCCCACACACATCAAATCATCGCGGGGTCCAGCGAGCTCCTTGTTCAAGTACGTGCCAGTCAATGTGCCCGCGTGCATACGCGCGCTGAAGTTTTGTTGTTCTTGCTTTTCTCCTTTCTCTTTCTTTCAGCTGGCGGCGAGGTTGACTCTGCTTCGTCTCGGGCTCATGTTGGCCGCTGTACTTCACCCCTGCCCCTCTGACTTTGTGAGTAGACAACAGGGCATGAGCACGGAAACCCGCATTTTGATTGTGCTGGCCATCACCTTTGCCGGTCTATGCTACACAGCATTTTACATGCTGCCCGAGCATGCCGAGGTCTGTGTACTCCTGGCACACCCACAACACATATTTGCCTTGGCTTCTTGCTCCCATCTCAAGAGCATGTATGCACACGCGCTCCTGCTGGCCCACCCCCAATAGACGTCCAACACGGATTTCATGCACAATGAGGATCGTACGTCTTGGTAGCCATGCCGAATTTTGCTTTTAGTCTTGGTTTTGAAATCCCCCCCCCCCCCCCCCAACCCTTTTCCTTGGCTCTGGCTGGTCCGTGTCCAGGCACTCGCGTCCTCACACCCATGGCCCATCTCGATTTTGCAGAGCATTTGGGTGTGCACTCGGAATCAGATGACCATATCAATGGTCCCGGCGACGTGTCACAGCAAGGGCATTTCCAGCCACCGCCTGCCGATGGTGAAAGGGACTTGGCTGAACAAAAACGCAAAGAGCGGGAGAGGATGGAAGCTGCGATCCGACAGGAACTGAACAATGCCCACCAAAACGCTCCGCCCGCGCCCCCAGCCCCACCCGTGCCCCAGGTCGACCCCGAGGTTCAAAATCTTTTGAGTGAGCGCCAAAAGGCGCAGGAAGAGCAGGCCCGTTTGCGGCAGCAACAAATTCAACAAGCCGAACAACAGCTGGAAGCTGAGCGGAAGAAACGCGAAGAGGAGAAGCAGCGCCAGGCGGCAGAGCGCGAGGAATGGCTCAAGAATGGCCGTGCGGCAGGAAACAAGGGCCACCCCATCATTGGCGAACTCAAGGGCCAGTCGTACCGCACCGAGCAATCCGAATCTCGCCGCGAGTCCATCAAGGAGATGATGCGCACCGCGTGGTCTGGCTACGCCAAATATGCCATGGGCGAGAACGAACTGATGCCCAAGGCCAAGCATGGCCATTCGGCTAGCATCTTTGGGCGGTACGTCGCAGCGCGAGCGCAATCTTCCTGCCCTTCCAATATGCGCGCCAAACTAGCCTCACTTCTTGGTATACCCCATTCACTCCTGCTGACTACGCAGCACCAAGATGGGCGCAACCGTGATCGACGCGCTGGATACGCTGCTGATTATGGGTTTGAACGAAGAGTACGCTGATGGGCGCGCGTGGGTTGCTGATAACCTGCACTTTGATGTCGTACGTACCCTTTGGGCTCATTTGCACAGCCTCGGGCCACTCTTTGCACTATGAACTGGCATGCTGCCTCGCTAAGCCTTGTTTATTTACCCCTGCTGTTGCTCTGTTGCCTGCCATTCAAACCTTCCCTTTCATTAGAGCGCGAGTGTGTCTGTTTTTGAAATCTGCATCCGCTTCATGGGCGGCTTGCTGACAGCCTATGCCATGACCAACGACGAAATGTACAAGGAGAAAGCCATTGACCTCGGCAAGCGTTTGGTACCGGCGTTCAACACGCAAACTGGCATCCCCAAGGCTACCGTCAACTTGCAGACGGGCACGTCGCACAATTGGGGATGGGCGTCGGGAGGCTGCTCCATCCTGTCCGAGTTTGGTACCATGCAACTTGAGTTTGAGTATTTATCCATCATCTCGGGCGATCCCACCTATGCGCACAAGGTTCGTGCTCCTGATGCCATCATGCACAGATGCTTGAGGCGTGCAGCTCAATGTCAACCGTGTTGGTGCCCCCGAGTTGGTACCCCCGTGTCGCTTGATGTGTGCCCTTTTGGACTGTTGGCTTGATAGGTGCGCAAGGTGATGGACTATGTCACTGCCAAAGAGCGTCCCAGCAATGGCCTCTATCCCAACTACCTCAACCCAGACACGGGTCGCTGGGGTGCCAGTAAGTTTTATTCGATTTGATGACCGGCTTCCTGCTCGCTCACTACCTTTTTCGACCGTGCATTTGGATGGGCTGCTCTGCATTCTCGCTCAACACTGGCTTTCTGGCGTCGCTCCTCTGCCACCTGCATGTCAGACGAAGTGTCGATTGGTGCGCTGGGAGACTCCTTCTACGAGTACCTTGTAAAGCAATGGGTCTTTGAAGGTGGTCGCAACCGCCGCACCTCCGAGGGTCGTGAGGCCTTTGATGACGCCATGAAGGTAAAAAAAAGAAATGCGCCTGTAGCCTCGTGCTTCGCAAGCGAAATGCCGCCGACCAACCTGTCCAGCTTGCACCCCGACGTCCCACTGTCAATCTCAAGCTGTGTTTCAAGCAGCCAGATCTCCACGCCTGGTCTTCCATCGCGCCTGGTCTGTGCCATCTGACTTTTATGTCTGTCTTCATTTGTAACCTCAGGGCGTGCGAAATGTGTTGACGCAAAAATCGTCATCGGGCCTGACGTACGTGGCCGAGGCCAAGGGCACTCGTCTCGTGCATAAAATGGGACATTTGGTAAGTCAATGGCCCTTTGGGCCACTCTGGCTCCTTTGCCATCGCGAGCCTTTTCCTCTCATCCCATGAGCTTGCACACCAAGCGGTGATCGCTGCTTTGCTCGTCGCCTCACGCTGGTGCTGCCATCTCCCTGGGGCTGTCATTTCAAATACAGGCGTGCTTTGCGTCCGGCATGTTCTCTTTGGGCATCGAAGCAGCCCCCAGCCAGGAGTGGGCTGACTGGTACCTTGACACAGCTGCCGGGGTGGCCAATACCTGTCACGAAGGTTACATCCGTACCCCCATTCACATTGGTCCCGAGGCCATGCTCTTTGATGGGAGGCATGAGGTGAGACCGAGTGGTGGCATGGTGGCATGCTCTGTGTGTTTTCGTTGGCAACTCGGCCTTGGCTTGACTCAAATGCATGTGCGTGCGTGCCTCCTCTCTTGCGCGCAATAACACAGGCTTCCAACAGCAACCCTGGCGAGCGTTACTATATTCTTCGCCCGGAGACAATCGAGGCCTATTTTTACATGTGGCGGTACGATACACCTGCGACCAAGTAGATTTGCCAGGCGAAAGACCGTGCCCCATGCTTGCTCACCCTGGCCAAACCACAGGCGCACGCACGACCAAAAGTACCGTGATTGGGCCTGGGATGCGGCGCAAAGCATCGAAAAATACTGCCGGTACGGTCGAGATTCGATACCAATTATACTGCTCTTGCCAGCTATCAACAGGATCATTTGCTGATGCACCACCCCTTTTGCCTGCTTCTCATGGCGTAGATGTGGCGTGGGGTATTGCGGCATCAAGGACGTGCAGGCTGCGCATCCACAACAGGATGATGTACAGCAGTCGTTCTTCTTGGCGGAAACGCTCAAGTACTTGTACCTTATCTTCGAGGACGATAACGTGATCTCGCTCGATGAATGGGTTTTCAACACGGAAGCGCATCCCGTGCCCATTCAAAAGGACAGGTCCAGCTTGGCTCCGTAAGGCGCCCCCCTGGTAGGGGCTGTAGAGCAAGAGGGTTTGCAGCATCAAGAGGCTTGACGCCGGGCGAGGACTGACGCTGGTTTTTGTTCTACAAAAAGCAGAGGTCGCCATCTTGCTTGTGTCGGCCTTTCTTCTTATTTCAAAGTTATGTGACAAGTGGCTCTTGAACACTGAGGATTTTGCCTTGATGTGGTCAATGCGTGGGTTGTGTGTATGTGTGTGTGTTTGATGGTTGCACATTGCACATATGGGTGAGCAATGGGAGTGCCTCACAAAAGCTGAAGACTGCAGCTAGCCGACTCGATTGAATGCTACGATTCACAAAGGAGAAAAATTGACAAAGTTTAGTTCGCAAAGCGAAGGAGAGGTATCTAAGCAAGAAGGACGTGATGACGAGGCGAGCGAGATTCGTCGGTTGACGACCAGGAGCGCCAAAGGCCCGCGCTGGGCGGTACATAATATTTACAGATGCACGTTCAAAGGTTTATCCTCATCTTGATGCATCACACAGAAACAGTGGCTATGGACAAGGATACAAAGAGTCTTTACAGGCGCGAATCGCATCGCGCTGGTACTTCTTAACCAGTCTGCAGCGAGTTCCTGGTGTCCTGTGCGCTGTGTGCGGCCAGCTGTCAAGTCAGCCGGCAAGCATGTGCGATGACCACAGAAATTAAGTTTGTATTTACATGTTGAACAACAAGGCAGGGAAAAGAGTAGCAAACCAGATTCAACGTGAGTCGACGCACCACTTTGTTTTGAAGAAACTTGACCCAGGCTTTGGCTTCGTCGGGCCGCTCGGCACTCATGATGTACGTACGGGAGGGCAAGACCACACTATGCGGTGGGAAGAACATGACAAAACAACGGCAATATACGATCGATGGTGAGTCGAGGTCGCGTTGCTTGGCCGTACACATATCCAAGGCACTCGCATGGCCGGGATTTGCTGATATCAGACACACCGAAAGCAGTTGGGGCGCGCAATCTGGTCTTCAAGGGCCACGTCGGAGCAGAAGCAAAGGTCAAGACTGTGCAAAGGCGCGGCTTGCTCGTCCGTGGCGTAGCTCAAGACGTTGCGCTCGCAAGTGAAGAAGCGTCGCTTCCAGTTCTGAGTCGAGGAGCCAAGAATGGGCTCAAACGGTGAGCTGGACGCAGGGGGGTGCAAGCGTGACTTTCTTGAACTCGATAAGCGAGAAAGGCTGGTCTGTACCTTGCGAAAGCCACCCAATTTGGTGAGCCATCCGGCCATGGAAGTCTAGGGGACACAATGCGAGTCGGTGCAAGTTGCCGGAGGGAGAGTCGGGCTGTGAAACAAGGTATACGGCAATACAGATGACCACCACATGTGCTTTGACGGACGCGGGCTGACCTGTGTGGTTGACATGATTAACACTCAAAAAAAAAGCCTGGAACTCAGTGACCAAGAAGAGGCGCCACCCGCTGCAGTCCTGGTAAGCACAGCACCCAGCACAAGGGCCACAACGAGCGCTTGAATCGTAGGAGCGGGGCCGCTCAAGAAGAGAACGACAGTGATGATCGAGGCCAGCGATGAGGGGCATGCGCCGGGAACAAAAATGACGAAATGCTGAACCCGACAACAATCACATCAACAACAACAACAAAAACAACAGCAAGTACTTGTTAAGTTGAAACATCTACTAAGCTTGCTTTGATTATATGTTCTGCATAAACTTTATTGACAGGTGCAAGATCTCATCAGACGCTGGCGAGTTGGCGTTGATTCCGCTCTTCCCGCAGAACCAAAGAACCACTTGTTGATTTGAAGAACAGCGTCAAGCGGGCAGGGAAGGTTCGGGGAGCTCAACGTCGTTCGCCAAGCCACGGATAGGGTTAGAAAGGCAGACCATGGGAGCGGGCGGGCAAGGCATGGGACAATCCATGTTCAGGGGCAGGGGGCAGAGTGGAGGCCGATGGTAGGGGGTCCAAGGCAGGTGACTGCTGGCGTAGATCACGCGATGGTGTCAGCATGACGGATGTTGCCTTTGACCCGTGCCACACCCATCTCGCAAGCTGCCCACACATGTGAACCTTTTTTTACCATGGTTTTACGCTGATTCGACCACACGTATACGGGCCGAGCATCACACATGACCGCACCGACAAACGGGCCTAGATCGGTTCTGGGGATGAGCGTGCCATCTCGTAATATAAAAGTATTTTACTTTAGGAAGTGTTGTCAGATGTCATCATTTTAGGGCTCAATGATGGCGGTGCCAGTCAAAGGTGGACGACGATGGTGTCTGCTGCATGAGGCGCCTGAGCATGGACTGGCGACTGCCGAGCTGCTGAATCAGCAGTGGCCGCGATCCCTGGCAGCTCGGTGTGTGATGGTGTATGGATCCGTTTGCATGGGACAAGCTGGGATTGTGTGGACGTAGCCTCAAGCCTGCACTTCATGGGTTGGTAGGCAAAAGAGTCTGGCCGAATCAACCGCCAACCTGCCTTGGGTGTTGGTACTGCTCGCCGAGGAGGACGCGAGCGTCATTGGGACGGCTCGTGTCTCGCGCGCCGCTCACGACGCCGAGGCCGTGGTCATTGAGTCTGGTAACCTTGGCTCTGCCCATGAACTCTGCCTTGTCAATACTGATCCCTTGCGCCCCTTTGACGCCGCCTGTTGTGCCCATGCTTTGTCAAACTTGTGCAGTTTTGGTCGCACCTGCCCGACGGGGTCAGGGTCTCGGGCGCTGCATCATGTTGGAGCTAGAAGCTCGATTACAAAAGTGTGTGGTACTGTGCCAGCAAACTTGTGTTGATGTGGCGGATCTCCTCTGACCCTTGACCGTTTCCGCACTGGGTGTTGTTGCAGGCGCGGCACCAAGGTGATCCACCTGAGCTCACACGACGCGGTCCCCTTTTACCGTCGCCTGGGCTACGTTGATGGGCCGGCCGTCACGGTTTGGAATCCACTCCTTGCTCGACTCGTACGTCCCTCTACTGAGCCTGCCTGTTTTGCTGCGTACAGGATTTCTCAACGAAAGACAAAGAGTGAACAGCCTCACCAATGTCCTTTCGTGTCGACACGCAGTCACCCGCTGCCCTGGCTGCTCAGCCCACCAAAACTACCCAAAACCCGCCGGCTGTACAAACAGCCGCAGTCCACGTGGCCTCCAACGCAACTTCCCTGCCACCCCCGCCACCCCCGGCGCCCCCGGCGCCCCCCGCTCCCCCGACACAGCAACCTGACTTGCCCGCGCATAACAGCGCAAGCAGTCTCCCCACGGTTTGGCTCCAGAAGATTCTAGCGCCCGCTTAGTATTTCACTCAGCCCAAGCCTCGTGTGCAATTTTTACGGGATCGATTGCTGCCGCTGCCGCCGCCGGGCACCACTCGAGTCCCGGTCGACACCGCCTCACTTCTAGCAGGACAAAACCATGAAAGAAGGTCAAAGGCTCACATCGCCACTGGCAGGCCTAAGGCTGACGCGGGTAGCAGCTACCCGGCGAAATGGGGCTGGCGGCAATGCCCATCGCGTTGAGCTTGCATACCATACGCGCCAGGCGCGGAGCGGCCTCATATGGATCGTTGACGGCCTGCGAAGACCACATGCGCTCGGCAAAGGCTGATGCACGTGGCCAGGCCTTGCCCATGAGATTGCCTGCGTGAATCTCTTCGCTCCACAAGGACACCTCGCCTACAGTTGATGGGGTCCACGTGAGAAGTGCCTGCCAATTCATGGTCGAAGCTTCGTGCCACACTGGCCGCTGGGAATTGATGTGTTCATAATGCCCCTTCTGCTCAACAAGCATTCATCCCAAAACGGCGTGTTCTTCCGCAGCTCACCGCCAAGAACACGAGCTGCCTCAGCAGGGGTCAGATCTCCCTGCCCAGAAAAGGGTTCAAGCCCATAAACGTCCGTCCAGAGCTGGTAAATGTCACCGTTGCCAAAGCCATCTGTGCCGCGTTGCAAGCAAGGCCAAATGAGTCGGCTCCCGCGCCGAGTACAATGAGAAAACACAAGGCTTGCATGCGATACGCACCGTTGAGGTACCACTCGCCGTTGGGGCCATTGGCCAAGATGGCGCGATAGCCTGCTTTGACCAGAGTGTACAGCCTACAGGTGCACAAGCGTGGTGAAACAGGGACCGCCGGTTTGGCAAGCAAAGACTCTGAATTCTCATAGCACGGAGAGGAAAAACGTACTCATCAACGACGTCTGCGCCCTTCCAGGCGTCATAGACGACATCTGTGGAGAGATTGACGCCGTTGTCAAAGGTGTCCTGATAGATGACTAGGGTTGCGTTGGGGAAAATATCCCGCGCCATCTTGAGCAGGCGTTCATTGTAATATTGTTGCAACTTGCTATAATCCTGTCAACAAAGGCGCAATGAGACCCTGCATGGTTATTTTCTCCGCGCGCTCACGCATGACACTACGTACGCCGTCGTAGCCCTGCTTGTTCATGAACGCCGTCACGCGCGCCGACTCCTTCCAGCAGGCATAGAACACCTCGTCTCCTGCAGACCACACATGCACAAATGCCAAGGATGAGGCGCAGCATAGTGCGAAGAAGCACACTGTCGACCCTCGCTCCAAACCCTAATTACGACGAACCGCCCATGTGGATAAAGGGGTCTTCGATGATCTTGCTCAAGTCGGTAAAGAGATCGCTCAGGACCTGATGAAGATGTGAGGACCACGACCGTGTCAGGCGGGACTTGTGAGCTTGGATATGCCACAGCATCAAGGAAAAAAAGAAAAAAAAAAAAAAAAGTGAAAGAAAAAAAGAGGGGGGCGGGGCTAGGAACATGGATAAACTGATACCTGGAATGTTTCTTCCTGGCTTGGATCAAGCGTAGTCATGCTGATTGTCGACGAGTAGGTGGCAATGGTGTTGGGACAGTCGGTGACCACGTTGGGGAAACCGTACTTCCACGAGTCAGCGTGGCCGGGCGTGTCAATCTCAAACATGACGCGTACGCCACGTGCTTTGGCAAACTCGACCACATACGTCAGATCATCGGCCCTACCAGAGCCAACAAAATGCAACTCCTCTCACTGTGAACAACAGATCCGGAATAAAGCCGGAAATCGGCAGGTGTCCTGGGGTGGTTGAACGTACGAGTATTGCTCAAAAGTCGAATAAGCACCCTTGCCGAGGTTGGCAGCATCGCCACGGGGCTGATATGGGAAGCTCATCTCGTCAACCAAGTGCCTGTCGAGTGCACATGATGTCAGAAGCTCGTTGAACTTTGATGATGAACGATGCAACGCACACCGGTCCAGCCTTGCGAAGCAATGGTCGATTCATTGAGGTGAACAAACCAATGCAAGAGCGAGAGCTTGTTGAAGCTCATGGCACGGATAAAGTCGCAAATGGTATCGCGAGGAATAAAGTGGCGAGAGGTGTCAATCAACACGCCGCGATGAGCAAAACGTGGGGCGTCTACCGAGAACAGAGGGTAGGCACAATGACACAGGCGTCAAGGCGGCAAAGAACCATGCGCTTCTACTGGTACTATGCTGGCGCGAGGGCACACCATGAATGAACCAGGGGGCACCGCGAATGACCACTGTGCCGTCCACACGCTGCTCCATGAGCTGTTGCAGCGAGGTCAAGGCGTGCATGGCGCCATATGCGTTGTTGGCAAGGATAGTAACGGAAGTGGTTTGGCCACTGGTGGTCATCTACCGGTGGCCGACAAGTGAAACAGGACCATCGGGTGCAATGAGGGGTGAGCTGGGAGCATGGTGGGCTGCAGCATGTAGCCAGCTCTGACCTCAAGGCTGTAGGAGTTGTTCGTGTTCTCATTGAGGGTCAGATCCTGTGAGTCGAGCTGCACCTGGACGCTGGTCAATGAGGACGTTGCGGGCACTGGTTTGTGGCAAAAAAAATTGGCGCGATCATTGAGTGAGGGGCGGCAAGGGCCTGTGCCTGGTTCGCTGCGGCGGGGACGGTTTGGACGATTCTAGCAGCCTACCTCCGTGGGTATGGTCCGGGCCAAAGACCAAGGTTTTGTTGCCGATTGCGGCGCGAAGACGACCAAACGCCGCGGTCACTTGGTCGTTGGTGTTGCCGTTCCCGCTCAGTGCAAGGTTGCCAACCGTCACGACCTGAGTGCCGTTTTGGAAGTAGGAGGGCTTGGGCCAAGGCGTAGTCTAAAAAGGCGCGCAAAGACACGTGAGCTGCACAGAGAGGTGACCGACGACACTCGGGGTACGCAGGTACGGCCAATAAAGAGCGTTGCTGGGCAGATCAAACGCGCAGACACTCAAGGGAGGCTGGGGACAAGGGCCAGGGCGGTAGCACCTCATTTGACTGGATCAGCGTTCGGGGAAAGACAAATCCATTGGCAACACCTAAGAATATAGCATCCGCACACGTGAATCAGCTACCCGCTCCCATCCTTGTCCTGGCGAGTTGCGAGTCGTAACCATGCAATGTAACCCACCCAGACAAGTGCTAGCCACCAGTACCAAGGCCGCCAGGACCTTGGGCAGTGGGCACACCGCCATCAATCCGATCTTGACAGTGAGCGAATGAGAGAGAGAGAGAGAGATTTGCGCGCGCGCGTGTGTGTGTGAGTGGATGAAAAGTGGAGGACTCCTCTTAAACATACGCTCTCTGTTGATGATTTTGTCATCATAATCACTGTTCTGCTGCTTTCATAGTCTGGCTCTCTGTGTCGCAAGAGTGCTGTGCGCTCTGCATGCATGGATGGGATGGGCTGAGGATCGTTTTTGAACGGGGGAAGAGAGGAAGGGGGTTTGTCTTCATGGGCGATTTGGATTTTCGATTGAGCGGCAGAATGCAGCCGATACCGTATCATCACGCTTCATTCACAGCCGGACGGTTTATTTATAACGCTCAGCGTTTCTCATGTTCAGACAAGGCTTTGCTATCAAACCCAAGCATTCAAACGCAGCTCCTAATAGAGGCTGCAAAAGTCAAAAGGAGATCGCTCCAGATTTACTTGCTGCTGGTGTACTTGGTGACGGCCTTGGTGCCCTCCGACACGGCGTGCTTGGCCAGCTCACCGGGGAGCAAGAGGCGGACGGCAGTCTGGATCTCGCGGGACGAGATGGTGGACTTGCCGTTGTACTTGGCCAGACGGGATGACTCGTTGGCAATGCGCTCAAAGAGGTCGTTGACAAACGAGTTGAGGATGGACATGGCCTTGGAGGAGACACCAGTATCGGAGTGCACCTGCTTCAGGACCTTGAAGATGTAGATCGAGTAAGACTCCTTGCGGCGCTTCTTGCGACCCTTCTCGCCGACGGCCTTGGCCTTGCCGGCCTTCTTCTCGCCCTTCTTGGAAGCCTTGGGGGGCATGATGTCAGTTCTTCGTGTCTAAAGTTGACTGCCGTTTGCGCTGGAAAATGCCTCACTTGGGCAAATGCTTTCCACGACCTGAAGAGCCATCAAAATCGCCTTTTGGAGCCAAAATGTTTGTCTGTCTGGTTTTAAAAAAGTCCCCTCAATAAGTCCCCTCTGAAAGTCGATTTTCTAAGTTTTATGTTGCGTGCGAACGCAGTGAAATACGAATTTTTCTTTCATTCTTTTTTGTTCATGTGCTTGGAGCTTCGGTAGGAACTGTCGTCGCCGGGCTTGGATCAGTTGGTGATGATTTGGACGCCGCCGACTTGCGGGCCCGATCGGGGCGGTTGCCTGCAGCGCGACTGCGGCGTGGTGGTCGGTGCGAGGGATGATTTGGCGTCCACGGACCCAAGCTATGCACCCCAGTCCCAAGCACGAGTGAGGAGGGATGCAACACTGGGGCCAAGCCACCCTAATTCTACTTTGGATGTTTGGCAAAAGCAGCACACACATACACACCTATCCTTGCCCGCATAAAAGTCCATGGGATAGGTCGCTTGCCACGAGACGCCGTCTAGACGGAAGAAACATGTGTTCAGAAGCATGAGCTAGCGGGTCAGGTCATTCGCAATCCCCAACCAGGTGAAGCGGAGAAGAAGCCGGCGTGGCTCGGCGCCAGAAGACGGCACGTACTGAGGCAGACAGCCGCCTCATAAGGGTTGAGTAGAGGCCGGGGAAAGGCAGTGCCCCAGTCAATGGAGAGGCGCGGGCAAGCAATTTGGATCCACGCGCCCACGTCCTCAAACAAAGCCAGCTTGGAGGGGAAGATCTGCGAGCAGGAGACAATGCAGCGCAATCAGAGGCAAGCCGAGCCCTGGAGTCTCAAGCGGGCAAGCTCCGGGAGAGAGAAGGCCTGGACACGTACCTCGGAAAGCAAAACGACAATAAAGTCTTTCCCAGCATCCCGCAGCAACTTTTTGAGCGATTCAAGCACTGCCGGGCTGCCTTGCCGGCCCAACGTGCCTACCCAAGGAGCGCAGCGCACATGAGACTCAGACACGTATACCGGCTCGGCCAAAGCATGGTGCATTCATTCGGGACCTCGTGTGCACCGAAAGCGCCAAGTCGCTTTACCAACATACCTAAAACAATACCAAAACGTGTGGCCTGACGAGCAGTTTCAATGGCGTGCTGGCGATTCTGATGCATTTTCTCAGTGTCATAGCCCTCACGGCTCAGCACCTGGTCCCGCGCATATTGCCAAACAGTGAAGAAGATAAATAAAATGAAAAAAAAAACAGAATGGCCGCATAGACTTCAACCCTGGAGTCAAAAACACGGTCCTTCCTTGCATATGAATACACCGACCTTGGCATAAGGGTCGTAGCGGTAGGCTGCCAAGGCCGGATTAGCAATCATGATCGACTCGAGGTGGAAACGACCATCACCGAGGTACACCAAGGCATCCACGTCCTCGGCGATGCGTGGTGAGGTGCAGCCCTAAGCGTAGCCCACGACATGTCATCAGCAAAAAAAAAAAAAGCCGCTAAGCCAAAGGTCGCGTGCAGACTAGGCACAGTATCGCATCCCGGTGCCATCCAGCAGCCCTTTACCAAGATTTCGCCGGGGGACAGAGGATGTGCTCGTGGAATGGTGACTTTGTAACCAGCTGCCTCCAACTCCAACCGACTGCTCTGCAGCGTGGACACAAATTGAACGGTCGAGACCAGTGCCAGGTGGCTCTGTGGAGCAAAGTTGAACTTGACCGTGTCTAGAAAGTGTTTCATGTCAATCTTGGAGAAAGTGTGGTGCAAACAAACAAACAAACAAACAAGGAGATCAACAGACCGCTCAGCATTTCTCAACCCGAAAGCGACCATGGGGAGGCGGGGGGCACCTGAATGTCGACAAAGACATAGAGCATGTTGATCGAGGTCCGGTCAATCGGCACCAAGCAGCTGTGACCGTAGTGAATCAAAAAGTCTGCCCCCAAGGCACGAGCCTGACAGGATCCGAAGGGCACCACAACAGCGACCGAGGTGAGACGTGCCCTTGAATGCCGACACATGCACATGAGCTTGAGGAGGGCCAAGACCCACACACCGAGTAGTCATCGACACAGCACGCCCCGTAGGTCACATCCCCCATGATGAGTGTCTGTACGCCGGCAAACCTGCAACATCCGAAAAGAACAAAAGTGATTAAGCCTGTGGTATCTCTTTCGACCCTGTCTTCTGCCCATCAGGGCGCCGATCGTACTTTTGCAAGATGTCCGCAATTGGACACGCAAAGATGAGCAGTCCTTCGGGAAACTGCAACGCCACTGTTGCCCATAAAGTGATTCATGAGGGGTTAGCCATGGCATGTCCTCTGGGGCCATGTGCGCCAAAAGAGCTAGATGGTACGAGGCCTGTGCATGCCCGCCTGACCTGTCTTGGCCTGCTTCTGCTGCAATCGCCAGATGGACTTTTCAAGCTCAAAATTGTAGTTGCCCGGCAACTAGCCATGCATGTTCGGAAATAGAACAGCGTGAGTGCCCAGAGTGGCAAGACATCAAGACCGGCCTTGCTCGAGAACTACCTGAGCAATGGCTTGCTGGAGCTCCACGTTCTCGGTGATTTCTGGTGGCACTTGCTGTTGCACTAGCGCGCCGACCCGACGCGGCGTGCGCTTGCTGGCTATCGGACAGAGCATGTGCTGGAATTGAGCATGGGATAGCGACCACCAAACACCCAACCGCATCGGGCCAAAAACTCAAAGGCTCGATGCGTGCAACCCTCGAGTCTGCCTGACCGCCATCGCGCCATTCGAACACAGCCGAAGACTCGGCTTAGGCGTACCAACAATCGTTCCCTCTGGACCGGCACCTGCAGCCTGCGCCTCGAGCTCGGATGCATGGCCAGTGCCCGCCACGAAGCGTTTTCTCGGTGTCTGTGCCATTGTACCCCGTGCCCTGATCAGACCAATGCAATGTCAGGGCGTTTGCTTCGAAAACGTGTTGATGAAGAATGACGATGCCGTGACTTGTGAACTCGCCACCACATGCACCATCGGGTTCAGAAAATCTGACGTCAGACAAATTTGGTCATGGAGGTTTTTTTTTTTTTTTTTTTTTTGAATTTTGAATTTTGATCAGATTTATTGTTCATGGCATTTAGCGGCGGCGGCTGACGGTCAGGACCTGGCCAAACTCCATGCTTTCACCGCCTGGGAGCAGCTGATCTTGGGCCACGGCCCCCGCTTCCACACAGACAAACTCCTTGTACTGAAAATAGTAGGGGACAGCACGTGAGTCAGATCGCGAGGCAATGCAGCTGAAAGTGCGCACCCAAAGTCGGACCAGCCTTCAAGGGTTTTGCGACAGACCTCCTCATCATCAAGATCGCCCATGGCCTTGGCCTTTTCAATCCAGGGGTTCCAAACAACTGTGCAGGGTTCGGTCCCACCAGTATTCAACAAATCATGAGCCATCGACAAGCCCCATGATCCGCCCACTGCTGATTTCCCACACATGGCCAACTCGGGCTGCTGAGGGACGAGACGTACCAGTGTCGGGCAAATTGGCCTTGGCAATCAGCATGTCTGTGGAAGGTGTGGCTGACGAGTGATCTTCCTTCGTGACCGGACGCGAGCGTGCCACATTGCGCACTGTGGTCGCACCCACGGCATTCATATAAATGCTATTTTTATTTTATTTTATTTTTTTTTTTTTAAGAGGGGGAAATGGTGGGTTGATAACGCTATGGGTGAGCACATGACCCTGTCGACGCGCGCCCCTCCAAAAGGGTGGAGCTCACCTGTCGACATTTTCGGCAAACGTAATGTCCTCCGCCTCTTGCTGGATCTCCTTTTGTCCTTGCAGCTGCCAAGCACAGCAGCGTCAGCCAGACAATGATTTACACCTCAGCAGCTGCAGCTCCGTGGCGAAAGGGGCAAGAAGGTGCAAGAGCGGCAACCCACCTGGTCGCGGTAGACATGACCCTGTAGACCATGCACGGCCACCTTGGAGATGTGGGGCACCCGGAAATAAGTGTGGAGCAGGGTTTTAAAGCCAAAGGCCTCCGTGCCGGTGTTTCGGATGCGAAGCGTGCACGTCAGGCGATGATCGCTGAGGGCCACGGTGTAGAGGAGCTCAAAGCCGTGGGGCCACATGGCCCGCGTTTCCTCATTGTCTGTCAGGCGGAAAGTGGCTGTCACATCCCCGGCCACAGTAGTGCCCGAGTCGCAGAGCTCCCACAGGGAGACACGAGCAAACCCATGGTTGGGTCCGAGCTTCCAGGCGCCAAACTCGGGGAAGACCTAGGATTCAACGGTTCAGAGAGCGTGACAGCAAGCAATACCGCCGCGGAGCAAGGTTCAGGGTTGAGAAACAGCTTGTATGAGCCATGGTTCACTGGGCAACAACGTGTCAGCCAGGAGCCGGTCGTCACTCACGAGAGGGATGCCTCCGCGAATCGCCTTCTTGCCATCCAGTACCGCCTTTGAGCTGGAGTGAAAAGCCGAGGCAACGCAACAGAGAGGATTCACCACACGTAAGACTCGCGAGCGAGCAGGGTACTTGTGCCTGCTGTTTGCGATCGCACCTGAGAAACAAAAACTCTTCGCTCTTGATGGTCCAGGAGGTGACAGTGGCACCATACAGGTGGACCGTGGCTTTGGCATCACCACGGCGCAGCTCAACCACAGGGCATGGATGACCACCCGTTCCAGTCACGGTGGTCTCAGTGACCCCGTCTTGCAGGGCCTTCTTTTGCGTCGGTGTGCTGGCCATGTTGAAAAAGTTTTGGTCTGTCATGCGTGCGGTTCCGATTGACCGTGAGCAGCCGCCCTCAAAGCAAGAGAGAAGAAGCAACATGTGGAACCAGGGCAAGAGGCAGAAGAGTGTACAGTGCACACAAGGAGCAGCCTGCGGATCATAGCTAGCCCTGCTGCTCCGAGCACGACCTCCAGCCCCTGCCCATGGGATCATGCCCCCAAAAGGCCGTACCTTTTGAATCAAAAACGCAGAAGCAGAAATTACTACAGATGATGACAATCGAAGAGACAGAGACAGAGAGAGAGTTCAAACAACAAGAAAAAGTTGGAGCCCTGCAATTTTTTGTTGTTGTTGTTGTTTTATGATGATCGGATTGCTCACAGCGTCCTCAAAAGTGGGAAAGAGGAGCGGGAGAGTGGGAGATGCACTTCATTGTATACACCAGCCTCAAACTCAGTCATCAATGGCGAGCATGGCAAAGGCGTTGCGCGGCGCAGCCGCAGAAGAATTGTCTTGGTCATCCTCATCGCTACTATCATTCTCATCGGAAGAGACGAGCGGCGGTGGCGCTTGAGGAGCGGATAGTCGGACATAGGCCGTGGGCTTGGCGGCAGCCGCCGCCGCCACTTCATTTTCCAAGATGGCAGCCGCTATTGATAGAGGAACGAAGAGACAAAGATGAGCTATTTGGCGTGGACGAGGAAACAAGTGGCCTTTTACTCGCAACACAAAAGTGTGTGCGCTGTTATCGTACCCAGGTTCTGATGCTGGTCCACAACGTCGGTGCCATATCGATCAAAATAACCCGGCGGCTTGATGGAAAGAACAATGCGTCCCTCGACTGCGTGCCGAAGGAGGTCGTTGGCAGCACGATAGACATCAGGCCGCGCCGCTTTTGCCGTAAAGTACTGGCGTGCGTAGGCCCAAGCCTACACATCAAAGATGTGAGAATGGATGAAGATCGTGGCGGCTCCCACGATGAACGAGAGAGGCCCGGCAAGTCGAGACCTAAAACAGAACAGTCAACGGACAACAGAGGGGCCAAATCGTACCTCGCAAATGTCCCACGGCGTCCACTCCGGGGCCTTCCGCTCCTCGTTCTTACCCTTGACGTCCATGAGCTCAGGGTGTTTAATCTTGAGCATATTGACCAAGTCAATGCGCTCCGCCCTGATGTCACATCGAACAAAAGCAAGTGAGAAATGGAGTCTCGCACGAGGTCCGCCTCACGGCGACAAGTGTACGCACACAAATCCAATGGGCGTGTAGGGGTCCCGCACTTGAGCCACGGGGTACTGCCCGGCCACAATCTGTACAACCAGCCAAGCGGCGTGGTCAGCTCTTGTCCAAAAAGACTTATTGGCCCACAGTGCAGCGCAGTGACGAAACTTGCCTGCAGAGGTCGTGGGACAAGGGAAGGAAAGATTAGGCCGGGACAATCGCACAAGCGAATGTGACTGGAAAGAAAGTTGGTCTACGTGGGCAAATCATGGTCGTGAGCGAAAAAAGGGAGACCTTGAACGTGGCACCCGGGCTTGATGATTGAAACAACAGCAGACGCAAAGTTTCTTTGCGGTATGCACAGCTGTCAGGCAGGACTGGCGCACCTGAAAGTGCTTGGTGTGGCCGGGAGTCTGGCTTGTTGAAACTACCGGGCGCTTGACCAAGCTATTGATGATGGTGCTCTTGCCAACGTTTGGTTGTCCAATCATACCTATGTGGATATTGCTTAATCAATGCGAGCGCCACTCTGAACCGGCTAAAACTGGCACACAAAAGGGATCACAGTGCGCACCAATGGTGATAAAGTTGGTATCCCGTTCGACGAGCTCGGGGCGGGTGGGGCAGTCCTTGCTTGCGTCAGCCTTGGAGGCCTTGGCAGCCGCGGCAAGTTTGCCGTCAGTGGCGGCAGCAGACTTTGAGGGAAAGTTGGCATCAAGCCAGTCCCGGTCCGCCGCATTGAGGCCCTGCTCAGACTCACGCTGAAGCAGTTGCTGCTCCGACATGTTGGCCTCTTCGTCAAAATCTGGGTCATCCACTATATAGCGGCCAGAGGGGATACACATGTGCGACAATCAGATGGCAAGGTGCTGGCAAAGGCATGGGGAGCCTGAGTAGCATCGCGCACCATCATCGTCGCTGTCATCCCCCACATCCAAGCTCAGAGCCTCTTCCCACTCATCCAAGTCTAGTCACAGCAATGCAAAGACCGCGTCCAAGTCGACGCAAACACCGATGATGATGAGGAGACCGTGCTGGCGAGGCTTGAAGCGTGTCAAGCAAGACAGAACCACAAAGAACGATGGATAGAGCGGTATAGAGGATGGGCGTAAGGCATGAGTTGATCGTGTTCGGGTTGGATCAGTACGTACGAGGCAACCCCAGGTCCCGCCAAGCAGTGATGAGCTGATCCAGCCCAATAGCTTGCCGCAACATGCGCTTGTGTTTGCGACGTGATTCTGGGTTGCTACAGGAATAGGATTGAGCCATTCACGGAGCGGAGATAATGTGAGCACCTACGTCTCATCCCTTCGCCATCTCAAGACATGAACGGGGGTTATACCCCCGGTACAAATCACCCGTGGTCTAGGACTCGTCGTCTCAGCCGGATGGCCTGCACAAGACACAACTCACCCCGACGTTGCAGTACGGAATGAGGTGAAGGTGACCACATATACGCCAGGAAAGGTCTTGATAAAGTATTCTTTCCAAGCCGTCGTGGTGGGCTCCCCCACAAGGTCACACTACGCAAGGGTGGCGACGCCAGCCCGTGTCGCTTATGAGTGCAAGAAAAGTGGGAAGGCTAGTTGATGGTAGCATCGCGATGCCACCCCAATCGGAAGCGAGGTCAGCCGGAACAAAGCCCACCTTGTTCAAAATGATGAGAACCTTGCGTCCCAGCTCCTTGGTCACGTAGTCGAAGAGGGCAGGAGAAAAGTGAAGCGGCTGCAAAACAAGGTTGAGTCGGGGGCAGCAACAGTGCAATGAGAAGGGGAAGAAAAGATAAATAACACGTCGAAAGCAGTCGTTCATCATGCACATAGGGCAAGGCTAGCGCAGGGCACGAGATGTGGCAGGGATTTGCATCAACATACCGCATAGCGAATATCAACGATGATAAAGAGTATATCTGAGACCTCAAGCACACGCCACAACTGACGCCAGGTCTGGAGTGGTCATGGTGGCCCCGGCAAGCATGAGAAGAGCAATCGCTGACCATGCACAACCGACTGGAGGACCGTGCGCTAGTTGGTTTGTCAGCAGAGGAACAAACCTCGAGATTCAGTTCAAAGTACGAGAGTTCGTCTTCGGCAAAGGATTGACGAAGACGGAAGAGATATTCCTTGAAACTACGCTCCTCCTTTTCCAGGACTTGCTCCTGGTCAGACAAAGAGGTTTGAGGGGCAAGACAGACAAGTCAGCCGAGCGGATAGCACAAACGGTGCTTTGGCTTGTGCGCGGATGTCGAGGGCTTTGCTACTGCAGGATTATTTCCGACTGAAATGAGGTGACCCACCTTGGTCTCGCCATAGGACCATTCGGGGCGTTTGGGGAAGTCTAGTGCTGAGCCTTGGCGATAGCACTGTTCGACGGAAATTTCCAGCCCCTCCCGCTGATGGTTTTCGACAACACAGCGGGCGATAACAAAGCATTAGCACGACGCACACGATCAATGATATGACGGGCAAAATTACAGGGTTGCCCAGGAGCCGGCAACCACCTCAAGACAACCAGGGTGCTGCTGTGCTGGCTTTGGCTGTACTTGACGTACCAAAGGGAGCTGTCGAATTGGACGCTCTTGGGCAATCTTCTTGTTGCGCTCAAGGTCTGCCCGAGACTCCTTGGCAAAGCGCAGCTTAAAGCTATTACAAGGGAAGAACGGGCGGGGTGATTGCGTTGCATCATGAGCAGTGGTGCCAGCATTCTAAAACGAGAGCGGGACTCAAGGAAAGGGAGTGCCTTGGGTTGGGAGGCCCAGGGTGTTGCTCACCGTTTAGGGTCCATTTGGGGCTGGGTGTTGACAGTATCATTCTCAAGGACGCCGTCAATGGTGGCCTCGTTGACACCTAGATCCACATCCTGTTCGCCCAAGTTGGATATCCGGTAAGTGAGATGGAGTACCTGACAAGGGAGCTGGAAGCACTGGGGACAAGACGTAGGCTCTAAGGGTTAGGGTTGCGCGGCGTGCTGACCATGCGGTTTCCACGAGGTCCACGGCGGCCTCCATCCTCAACCAACCGCGTGCCCAAGTCTGCCGACCCAGCGCCCAGAAGATGAGACGATGGGACCGGCACTAGATTGAGAGGGGGGGAGGCAGAACCAAAGAGAACAAACCCTCATTTTGGCGGCGTCGGTCGCGTTTGGCTTGCATTTGCTGCTTCTTTTGTTTTTGGCTGAAAGGTTTTTTCCGAGTCATGATACTGATTTCAACAAGTATGCACTGATCTACGGAAACCCCAAAAGCTGCATGCATGAGTGAGCGCTGCCCGCGTGCGCACACACGCAACGCATGCGGCGAGCTTGGTCAAGGCCTGCCGGCAGGTCTGCTCACCCCCTTGGCTTCTGCTTTTTTTTTGATTGAAGGGAAGAGTTTGTTGAGGAGAAGACGACCTGTCGTGTGTCACTGATTTAGTTGATGGTGGCAGCCACGCTGGGGACAAGCAGGAATGACCAAGTCGATGCACGGAAGGTCCGGGCAAGGCGGATCGAGAACGGAACGGAAAGGGCTCCCCAGAGAGAGAGGGAGAAATTGCAACAACAGCAAACAGGTTGCAGTGGCTTTGCATAACAAAAATGATGACATCCAAGACAGCCAATAATTATCTGACATTCAGATGGTTGGCAGTAGGCGAATGCAGTCGATGCTCCGGGCTCGAGCCAGGTGATCATCCCAAAATAGACGAGAGGCTTGGCGCAGCATCATGGGCAATTTGTCCTTACGCACGACAAAGTGTTGCAGGCTTTCTCAACGATGCCCCGCTCCACACCTGCACGCGCTCTTTGTATGTATGACAGCATGCCAAGACCCACACAGACGAACAAGCACACGTGTTTTTCGTGTGTTTTTCGTGTGTCCACACACACAAAGCGATACCCACAAAGACCTTGAAACCTGACCTCAGCGACTATTGGCCAGGCCAACACAAAGTCGGTCCTTTGCTAAGCCTGTTTATTCAAGTGCGCGGCGAATACGATGGTCCTGGCTACACTAGGCTCGACGACGGCCAGCTGGATCTGACACGATCGTTTCCAGGGGTCGGTTCGGAAAAGCAGATGAAATGGCAGGAAGTGTGTGTGCTGGGGCCAGCTGTAAGGATGATTGTTTTTATCGGCGAAACGACGAGCCACGAAAAAAAAAAAGAAAGCACTATGACCCTCACCCTGAGCGCGGACATGCTTCATATCCTCGCTCCTCCTACGCAACCAACAGGCGCAGCGACGTTTGTCGAAATGTGGTGGTGTGTGCTCAATAGCAATGTGCGGCTCCTTGAAATTGTTGTTTCCTCCCACCCGCGCGCAATTGCCCATTCTTATTTCATTGCGCTGTGATGCGTCATCGGCATTGTGGCGCCACCTTCTCTCTCTCTCTCTCTCTCTCTCTCTCTCTCTTCTCTCTCTTTCTATTCATTCTCTCTCTCTCTCTCTATTCATTCTCTCTCTCTCTCTCTATTCATTCTCTCTCTCTCTCTCTCTCTCTCTCTCTCTCTCTCTCTCTCTCTCCCTCTCTCTCTCTCTCCCTCTCTCTCTCTCTCTCTTGGTCCATTTTTGGGCCGCGTCTTACATCAAGTGGGATTGCATTATTGAGAAATGTACAGCATATGGACAGAATAGGACTTTTTCACTCTCTCTCAAATTTGTCCGCGTTCTGTCAAACTCTCTGAAACCCCTTCTCTTTAAGCTGAACCTACTCTCAATAGACTTTACTACCCATCTCTCCCTCTCAACCCGCTCACGCACCACGCGCTCTCTCTCCCTCCCTGTCTTCCACAAAAAGAGAGAGAGGTGAGGGCAGATGGATTATTTTCAAGGTGGTGGATTTTGGGTCGCTCTGCTCTGCCCTCTGCTCTGTTGCTGCTCTGCTCCGCCCTCTGCTCTGCTCTGCTTTGCGCTGCGCTACTTGTCCTGGTGATGGAAAAGGCGTGTGCATTCATCATCAGGTTGCGCGCTGGGATCATAGTGAGGGGGAGAGTCGAAAGGCGAATGTTGGCGAGTGTGTCTGTCTTTTCCTGGCAGGGGGGAACCGATGACCTGCGATGCCAACAACAGACAGTGGCGCGCTTGTGACAACTTCTTTGCCTCACGTGCCAATCGCTCCGTCCCGTGCTTGCTTGCCCTTCTGCAAAGTAGACGCTGCCTCTTGACCAGCCTTTCTCGGAACTCGTTTGCGCTTGCCTCGCATTTGCCTCACGCCAGCCATGGCGGCACGGCACGCCCGGGCCGCGATCCTGGTTGTGGCGGCCCTCCTGTGCGGCAGTGCCTCGGCCTTGGTCGTGTACGAAGCTGACTATATTCTCGATGACCCCATGGTCTGGACGCCGCAAAACTCACCCTACGTCATCGAAGGCAACTTTTTCATCGAAAGCAACGGGTATCTGCGCATCACGGCCGGTGTCGAGGTCATCACCCGCCCAGACGCTTACATCAACGTCAAGAACATTTTGCAGATCGAAGGCATACAGGGGCTGCCCGTGCGCTTCCATCCCAACACCTCCACCACCACGGTGGGTCAGTGGCGTGGCGTCATCTTCACTACGGGAGCCAAGCCCTACGTCCCCGACACCACGGGCGCTGCACGTGGCTGCCTTTTGGAACATGTCACGTTTGATAACCCGGGACGCTCCGCCACGCCGGCCATCAACGTTCAAGGCTCTGCCCCTCGAATGCTTGGCCTCACCGTCAACCACGCCCAGGATCATGGTGTGTACATTGCCAACTCGGTCGAATCCTTTGACATCGAAAACAGCACCTTTTACAACAACTACCGTGCCCTCGATTTGCAAACCAGCACCTCGTGCCGCACTAGCCCCTGCTCCCTTTCTGGTATTACCGTTGAAAACGATCGTGAGTACGGCATGTACCTGTCTGGCCTCTCCGGCAGCAGCACACTCACCGTTCGTGACAGCGCCTTTATCAACACACAGTCCAATCTGTACGCCTACACCACCTACGGCTCCCTCTCCTTCATCAACACCCTCTTTGACGGTCGGGGTGTTCGTTCACGGGGCCTTTTCGTCTACTACGGCGGTGTTCGTCTCGAAAATTGTACTTTCACTGGCTTCACCTCGTGGGCCGTGTCACAACAGTACAGCACCACCGCCCCTTTTCAGGCGCGCTACAACCACTTTGTCGACACGGCCTACGGTCTCGAATACACACCTCGCTCGGGCTACAGCTCTCAATCCGTTTTCTCACATAACACCTTCCAGCGCCTCACCGAGCAAGCCCTGAGTCTGTCCGTCTGCGCCCCCGCCGATGACCGCCTTGAAATCCGTCACAACATGATTCGCGACTCCAGCTTTACTGCTGCCCAAGCCATATCGATCACCGAGACTTGCAGCGCAACCAACTCTTCCTTGCCTTTTGAGAACAATCGCATTGTCAATTGTACCATCATTCAAGAGGTAAAGCACGAACAAGAACTTGCAAAAATCGTATCTCTGTGCGCCCTCACCTTGCCCGCTCGCCCCATTCGCCCCTTGCTCCTGACCGGTCTGTCTGCATTTGCCTTGACCCATCACCAGCTCCTGCGAGTTCAACCAAGTGCCGCAACCTCCATGACCCTGCGACACAATTCTTTCGAGGACATTACATCGACCTCCAGTGCTTCAACTGCCCTAGCAGTACAGTGGGCCCCTCAAGCTGATGACAACATAGAGGTCAGCATTCATGCCAACCCACAGCTCGCTCCATTCTCGGCCAGTCACGCTACTCTTAGCTCTTTTGGCCTCAAAAACTTGATGCCTCTGTCTATATGATGCTCCCTTGTAGATTACATATAATCGCTTTGTTAATGTCTCGCTGCCCACCTATTTTTACCTCTTCGGCTCGGGCGTGGCTGCCCTTCGAACAAGCGCACGCTTTCAGCTGGGCGTCAACTTTATGAACAACATCAACAACATTGATGCCTTCCGTTCACGTGTCCTCGATCGCCGCACTGATATATACGGAGCCTATGTTGAGTCCTTTGCCATCCTTTTGGCAGATCCGCAAGACTGCCAAGCCCTCGACACTTGTTCGGCCCTTCCCACCGCCATGGACACCCGTCCCTTTCTACAGGTCAATGCCTTTGCAGTGCTTCGCCGCTCCACCACCGACGTTCTTGATTTCCTGGTTCTATTGTTTTGGCAATTCTGTTGCTGCCTTGCCCCAGCTGTCCCCAAGCGCCTTTCATGGCACATTACGCCCTGTCCCCCACAACTGATATTATGGCCCTTTTCCGCCTCGGCTTTTCTTTACTTTTATTATTTTTTTTTTTTAACATAGGACAACGTGCTGCATGGCATCCTCCGGAACGATCTCACCCTCTCGCCTGATACAACCTATGAACTGAACGAAGCCATCTTGATTCAGTCCAATGTTACACTTACCATCCCTGAGGGTGTGCGCATCGACGCAGGAGGTATCACTTGCTTGCCAGAACCAACTTGTTCTTCCCCACCCCCTCGTTCTCTATACTTGCTGCCTCTTGCGCGCTCTGTGTCTTTTGCTATTGCATACAAGTCACAACGCGTGGAACATTTTGGCATCTTCAAACAAGCATATCTAACACATTGGATGTTTGTGCCGGAACTAGTCAATGGCATGATTCTCGTCGCGGGGCAGTTGAACATCCGAGGCACGGCGACCAAGCCCGTGGTCATGACTTCAAGCGCAACTCGTTTGGCGGCTGGCACCTTTCTTGACTGCGTCACCTACACGGCCGGCGCGGACATCTCACAAGTTACCGGCACCATGACCACATCGGCGCATTGCACCAACCTCTGCCGTCGCGCTCGCCAAGCATACGCGAGCGTTCAGAACAGGTCAGGACAGTCTTCCGCTCAGCCTTGTCTACATTCAAATGGGACGGTCAACATGGCCCCGTGTCCGCTGCGTTGTCACTCATTGCCTTTTTTGACCTCTGGTCTATTTGTTGATGATCCTCTGTTTCTCGGCACCACTTTGTGGCCTTGCGTTGCTCGCCCTGACCGCCACCTTCCAATTCCCCGTCTGGGCACGTAGCAATCGCTGCATCTGTGCCAACGTCCATGCAGCGGACCAGTCGCGCTCTGATTGTACTTACAGATGCCAGGGTGATAACAATGAGTTTTGCGGTGGCTACAGTTCCATGCGCACTTATGCGACAGGTGAACCACTTGCTTGGCGGGGCATTGTCTTCCTCTCGGATGCCAAATCGGCCAGTGTAGCCCACCTCGATATTTCGTACACTGGTGGCACCGTCTACAACCTGGCTGCCATTCGCTCGTACGCTGCCACCGCAATTAACCTGACTGCCTCCACCTTTCACGACATGCGAGGCCCCGCCCTGCAACTGGATGGCACTGTTGCGCAGCGCAACGTGTGGACCAATCTCACGTTCTCCAACATTGCCCACCACGCAATCCACTTGACGAACCAGGCGTGTCGGGAAGGGTGCAGCTTGGAACACGTGCACGGCAATAACATCAGCCTGGCCTTGGTCTACACTAGCTTCGACACATCCGGGACTGCAGATAGCACCGTGAGCATGAACCATGTCACCATGGACACTGTTGGTGGTGGTCGGCTCTGGGGCTTTGGCTCAACGTCGGCCGCCTTGAGCATCACTCGTGCTCGTGACTTTCAGTACGACAACGGCCAAGCAACTCGCACCTACGCATCAGCCATTGCCACCAGCTACAGTGCGGCGAACATCACCCGCTCCGTTTTCACCGAGTGTGGCAAGGAAAGCGGCAACTTTGCCGTCTACCTGGATGACTTTTCCCCTTACACCCAGCTCGCTCAAGTGACAGACAATGTGTTTCGTGACAACGTCGGGGCTCTATTTATGCAAAACCTGTACAACTATTACCACCGCATGCTTGTAGCACACAATGAGTTTACCGCCAACGGTGGCACCTATGTGCTCGACCTGTCTCTAACTGGTCGTTTCCGCAATACTTTCGAGCACACTCAGATTGAAGTTCGCGACAACATCATTGCCAACAACACGGCAACGCAAAGCATCATCAACCTCGCCTGCACAAATGTATACTCGTCGTCAGTTCTGTCCTTTGCTGGCAATTCCATCCGCAACAACACGGCCGTGGATGCCATTTTTAGCCTCTCCACCTCGAGCAACATGCGTCCCGAGGTCGTCGCCAACGAGATTGTGGAAAATTCGGCTGCCGTGGGCATTCGTTTGGCTCAGAGCGGTGCCGTGGCTGGCCGCCGACCCCAGCTCTGGCATAACCGGTTTGCTAACCTGCTCAGCACGGGCTACGAACTTGAAACTTCCATCGCTGATGCACAGCTTCCCATTAATGCCAGCCTCAACTATTGGAACACCATTCAACTTCGCAGGGTCAATGACAAGGTCTATGATCTTTTGGACAGCGGCAATCTAGAGCTGGTGAGCGTCCAGCCATTTCTAGATGCCCTTGGTCAAGTCGTCGTGATCGCTGCCGAGGACGAGCTGTTACAAGCTGATGGCAGTCTGTCGGGCCTCCTCTCGCAAGACTGGACCATTCCCGCCAACTCAACCTTTGTTGTTTCCGGCATGATTGTGGTCCAAGCCGACGTCGTGCTGCGGGTTGAAGAGGGTGTGACCATGCACTTCACCGAGGCGGGTGGTCTCAAGGTACAGGGTGCGTTACAGGTCCTGGGCACTGAGGCCAACCGGGTCGTTTTTACTCATGCCAACGTCTCACGCGCTGCGGCCTTGAGCAATGCGCTACCCGCCTTCCAACCAACCTACATTGGCTGCTTGCCCGATGCTGACTTTGACATGTTCCTGCCCATCACACTCTCCCGGCGCACTGCCGACGCCTGCGTGGCTGCCTGCTATGCGGCCGGCTTCCCCGTGGCCGGCGCGCGCCGTAGCTCGCAATGCTATTGTGGCCGTGGTTGGTCGGATCCGACTGCTGCTGTCAGCGATGGCACCTGCTCGTACCAGTGCACGGACAATAGCACGCAGCGCTGTGGTCAATACTACTACTCCTCGGTCTATGCCACGGGCCTTCCAAAGCGCTGGCAGCAAGTTGATTTTGCCGACAATGCAGCCGGCTCTTTTATGGACGGCAACAGCTTTATCAATGGGTCCTTTGTAAACCACCTTCATGTCTCGTACACAGGTCTCACTGCGCTGGCCGTCAACGGTGCTGGCGTGGCCATGCACCATGTGGATGTACACGCTTCAGCCGGGAACTGCGTTGCTTTTTCGGGGGATTCACAAGGCACACCTGTGGATCTACGCAATTTGACTCTGACGCGATGCTCATCATATGGGCTGGTCATGAGCAGCAACGCCTTGGAAGACGGCGGTGTGCTTGACGGCATTACAGCCCGGCACGTGGGGAACAACGGTCTGCGCCTGCGCGACAAGAACAGCAACACACACCGCCTTAGTGTTCGCAATGTTCTGGTTGAGGACGGCGCGAGTACCGGCGTGTACCTCTATACAATCTACAACCTTGAAGTGCAAGACATTGTTGTACGCCGCACTGCCGGGCACGGCATCTATGGCTATGATTTGGGCCCGTTTGACTTGATGCGCGTCCACATCGTGGACGCTCAGGGTGCGAGCAACAACTACGGTGTGTTTATGGAAGACATGCAATCAGCTTCTCAAATGTTCTCCAATGTCCGTGTGTTCAACAGCCAGGGAGGCCTGTACTTGTCCCCGAGGTATGGATTCTCCAATCATATTGTCGTATCCAATCTCGTCGTGGACAATTGCACTGGCGACAAGGGCTACTACTTTGATTCGACCCGCATTTACGGTGGTACTTTCCGATTCGAAGACAGCACCATCGCCAACAGCACCTTGATCAATGCGCTGCACATCGACATTAGGTATCAGAATAACCAGCAGCACTCCTACACCCGCAATCGCATCGAGCACAACACTTTGAGCGACAGCGTTGTTCGACTGGAGAAAACGAACTACAATGGTGGCATTCAGTTCAATCTAACTCACAGCGTACTGCGCAACAACTCGGCGCCATATGGCATTTATCTACCACAACCAACGACATCCTCAGGTGGCATACAGAGGCCTGATTTCTTTTACAATGTTTTTGACAACAATGTTGAGTATGAACTGTACACCACCATTACGGACGCCAACATCCCGGTCAACGCAACCCACAACTATTGGGGGACGGACATTGAGTATGAAATTGTGGTGGACAAGTTGCACGATATCAGTGACGACAGCAACTATGAACGCATCATCTATTTTCCCTATTTCGTGGATGCCGCGCTTGACAGCTTGATAGATTTGGATGCACAACGCCTTACAATTGTTCTGCCGGATGGTTCTCTTGGCGGCGTGGTCACGGGTCATGAGATTCTGTCCAGCGCACGTGCTACCAATGGCACTTTTTACGTCAACTCGTCTCTGGTCGTCATGGAAGGCGCCATTCTCGAGATTGAGCCGGGACTGCGCTTTGTGCTTCGCCCGGACGTTGCCATCAATGTCAAGGGCACCATTATCAGCCATGGCACGACGAGCAATCCCATTGAGTTTACGTGCGACCCCGCCTCTGCTTTTGCTCCAATGCAAGCTCTGGGCTGCACGGGCTCGTCGAGTACCAGCACGTATCCTTGGTACCGCGACTCGACGAGCATGACTCACGAGAGCTGTGTCAACTTTTGCGCAGCACGTGGTCACGCTGTCGCATATGTGCAGAGAGCATACGATTGCTTCTGCAGCAATGGCGCGCCCGCCGACCTGAGTGACTCGCTGAGCGCCTGCACCAGCACCAGCTACCGCTGCCGGGGTAATTCCTCGCAGTTTTGCGGTGCCTATAGTGCTGGCTTGGTATTGGGTACGGGTGTGTGCCAACACTGGGGATCGTTGACCTTTGATGCCGCGAGTCAAGGCACGGAACTTCACCCAGACTTCTCTTACAAGAGTGGCAACATCCTCAAGCACACTCGACTGTCCTATGGCGGCAATGCGGTGGCCCCTTTTTCCGCTACGGTCATTGTAGAGGGTGACACGGTGCTGATGGAGGATGTTGAGGTCGTCTACTCGGGATCGCACGGCATTGCACTCCAGCCAAGCAATGCTCAGGTGCGACCAAGCGTTCTAAACCGCCTCAACATGACGCTCAACCAGGGTCATGGTCTCTCGGTCACGGCTCGGGCTTGCGAGGTGGCTTGTGAATTTGAGGACATTGATGCACGGCTCAACCGATACAACGGCTTGTACATTGACGCCTCCGGCTTCAACTCACCCATCTCACTGAATGGAGCCAACTTCATTTCCAATGGATGGAATGCCATCCACAAGGATGTGTCACAGGGTAACTCAACCGCTGCAGGCGAGGCTGGTCTGCGTTTGAATTGCCACTCTAGCTCAAGTGTGCCAGTAGCGATGGCTCGGCTTGTGGCTCAGCAAAACTATGGCGCTGGTATCTACTTTCAAAGCTGTCTTTTTCACCTGCTGGACAGTGACGTCCAGGAGAATGGTGATCACGACAATGACTATGCCATTTATGCCGAGTCCCCGGCGCCGGGCACCATCATCTCCCGCAACAACGTCAGCCACAGTAATGGTGGCATTTATATCACCAACGCACGAGAGTTGACTGTTGCAGACAACGAGGTATGCACCGCTTGCCGTGGGCCTGCTTTGTTTTTTGATTTTTTGTTTTTTTGTTTTGTTTTTTTTGTTGTTGTTTTCTTGTTTTTTTTGACCCCAGTGCCAGCGGCGGTGTCTCATCCTGTCCTGCCATCTGCACAGCTCATGCAACTTCAAGGTACACATGCGCTGTATCTCTCTGTGCATTACAACTTCTACAGTGCCACCATTCGAATCACTGGAAATACACTGCAGAACAATGACGTCTCCCATGTGGCATACATCTCCGGCTCGTGGCGCACCTCATATGCGGCTACGCTGGAGATTAGCAACAATGATATCTTGGACAATATTGCTTCAGACAGCATTGTGTACCTCTCCGGATACGGTGGCTGGCCGGTCATCTCCACACACCAGTATGCATTCACGGGCAACCGCGTCTTGGGCAACCGCATCGATGACATTCGCAAGGGCGCCCTGCAAATCGATGGATACACCCCCAAAGTCGACTACAACTTCTTGGTCAATCCAGACCTTCTGACCGAGATCATCAGCGCTGTACGATGCACATCCGGTTGCTCGAGCAACTGTCCCTCACAATGTGCAGGCAATCTGACCGCCACGGACAACTGGTGGGGCTCAGCAGACCCCGCCTTTGTCTCGACCCGAGTCGTGGATGCAAGAGATGACACACAATTCCCCTTCATTATCACCACCCCGCATCTGACCTCAGCTTCTTTTGACTGCTCGGCCGTTAACAACTGCTCGGGCCACGGCACGTGCAGCCGCCCACAAATGTGTACCTGCGACTCAGGTTATACGGGCACGGACTGCTCGAATTTCACCTGCACGGACGTGTTTGGCTGCAATGCGAACAACGCAGGCGGTGTGTGCATTGGACCCAACACTTGCAATTGCACCGAGTCCTGGGAGTCAGCCTACTGCACCACGCCAATTTGCCGCCAGAGCTGTGAGCAGGGCATCTGTGTTCGCCCTGACCAGTGCCAGTGCATTCAAGGATGGGCCGGGAATCGCTGTGACGAGTGCGCGCCTGACTACGCCGGCAACCGCTGCAATATCCGCTGCCCCGCGTGTGCCAACGGTGGTCATTGCTTGGATGGACGCAATGGGACAGGCCAGTGCGTGTGCCCTGCCCCATTCACAGGCTTGTCATGCACCAATTGCCTCGAGGGCTTTTTTGGGACGAGTTGTGGGGCTCTGCCGGCCACCCGAGCGGTGGTTCCAGCGTTCGGCTTGGATGTGGGTGGGTACACAGTGGCAGTCCGAGGGTACAACTTGTCGCCCTTTGACAACCACATGGTGCGATGGGGCCCTGGGACGTCTCGAGACCGGGCCTGCACCTTTGAAGCCACTGATCGCTTGCTGTGCGAGGTGGCGCCCAGCCCGAGTGGCGCCACAGATCTGACTAGTGTGACCGTGACGCTCTACATCAACGGTTCGCTTGTCCAGTATGGTAATTCCCTTACCTTTCAATATCAAGCTGTCTGCCCCGATGATGCATGCGTTCATGGCACTTGTTTCCAGCGACAATGCGCTTGCTTGCTTGGCTGGAGCGGCGCCAACTGCTCTATTCCTGTTCTGGCGCCCGTGTTGGTGCCGGTGACCCGCGTGACTCTGCGCGAAGGCGAAGTCGTCTATGAAACACCGTTCAGCGTGTCCACAGGCACGTCTCCTCTGTTTTGGCGCATGACCGGCGCACCTTCCGGTCTCACGCTGGGAAGCTCGTCAGCGGCTTTGTCGTGGAACAAAGCTGTGGCGCGTGCTGATCCCTATGGCGTGCGCGTTTATGTGCGCAATTCCATCGCTGAGGTCTTCATGGACGTTCTCATCGATGTCCCGCTACAATACGCCGCCTCGGGGGACGTCGTCGATGTGGGTGGTCAAGTTGTATCTGGTGGTCCTCAACAACTGGAGGTCAAACCAGGAAGCTACGTGCAAGTTCGTGGATCACTTACACCCACCTTCAACGATAGCGCAGTAGGTGGCCAGGCTGTCTCAATCTGGCTGCTGCGCCAAGGTTTCACACCGCAAGAAGTGGTGGTCAACAGCATTTTCAACGGAGTCTTCAGCTACTATTGGACTTTTTCGCAGTACGTTCCACTCTTCTCCCTGCTATCTTATGTTAGATGTGCCGTTGCTCAAGGCGGTTTGTCTGTCTTTGTCTATCTTTGCACTTTTATTATTATTTTTATTATTCTTATTCTTATTATTATCCCATTTGACAGGAACCAGGCCGGACGTTTTTTCCTGGGTACCACCCACCCAGCCAACCGACTGCGCTCCGAAATGCAGAGCACGGGCTACTCGCTTGTGTTCCACAACCTGCGTATCACCAGTGGTATCTCTATTTCAGGTTACCCGGGCCTGAAAATGGGACGCGGGCGCATCGAGAATCTTGGGGATTTGCCGTTGACGAACTTGACCTACCGCTTGCCCGAGGGCCTTCCAGCAGTGCTGGCAAACATGACCGTGACGTTCGAGTCCGCACAGCTAGCTGCGCGTAGCTCAATGAACGTTGACATCTCGTGCCATGCTCCGGGGCCCTTTTTTTCAGCTAGTTTTTACATCGTTATTCAGACACAGGAAACGGGCAGTCGCGAGTTTGGGCTGTACACAACCATAACCGTGCGCGATCCAGAACCTCGCCTTGAGTTGAGCCCTTCGCGACTGGCTGTGGACATGACACGTGGGGAACAGCAAACCTTCGCCATCACCGTCAGCAACACGGGTGGTGCGGCTACTGGCCCTTTAAGTGTGCGGCTCGCACAGAATGCGGTCGTGTCCTTAGGCTCGCCCCCGGCCATTAGCAACATTGCACCTGGCAACTCAACCTCCTTTAATGTCGTTGTCTACCCTAGCCTCTATCAGCCCATCGGACGCATTGGCGGCACCCTAGTTGTATCCAACAGCCTTGTGAGCAAAACGCTGAGCTATGACGTCAACATCATTAGCTCCTCAGTGGGTAATCTGACCATCGTGTGCGAGGATGAGTTTACCTTTTTTGACCCAGCTGAGCCACGCCTCGAGGGTGCGTATGTACGAATTACCAGTACCGACGGCCGCATCAACACATATGGCTACACGGATGGAAATGGTACCATTGTGTTTCCTGATATCCCGGAAGCTTACTACAACATTCGCGTAACGGTACGTCCTTGCTCGTCCAGCTGCGTGAAGCCCTTCGAAATGTGATATTTTGAACGCTTGGGTCATATTTTACTGCCCCCTCCTTCCGTGTTGCGTGGTGTACCTTTGTATTTTCTAGGCATCTGGACACGCGCCCCATGCTGAAACCGTGCGTCTAGTGCCGGCGGGCCGCACGGTGCGAGCTTTCCTTGCGCGTCAAGCCGTGTCCTACACGTGGTCGGTGACTCCTGTCACCATCACTGAATCGTAAGTCTACCTATATACACCTTGGACGATGCGCCGTATCTGGGTGAAACCTACAGTCAGCACCCTTGTACCGTCCACGCCTCATGCGGATTGGCGTGGCATGCTGCAGATACAAATTTACGGTCGAAGCGACTTTTGTCACCCGAGTGCCCATGCCAGTGGTGACGGTTGAACCCATTGTTGTGGACCTCACGGCTCTTGAGCTTGAAGCAACCGAGCTTGGTGTGACCTACTACAACTACGTTGTTACGAACCACGGCCTCATTCGCGCCAACGACTTCAACCTTGTGCTACCGGCCGGCCACCCCTACCTCGAGTTCAGCTACCCCACGCCGATTGGTGGTATTGAGGCCAACACCTCGGTGGTCGTACCCGTCACCGTGACCTACGTCGGGGATGCTCGTACCCGCCGCTCCAGCGGCGGGTGTCACACCGGCGCGGCTGCGTATTCGGTTGAATGTGCCGGTACTCGTTGTAGGTTACACTGCACCCATCGAGACTTGCAGAGATTGCGGGGAAAGGCAGAGGCTGCCGCTCTTAACTTTTAACTTTGACACAAATTACTCACAAAGTTCCCTTGGGTGCTACCTTCCTGATCTCGCCTTCCTGATACCCAGATACTTTCATTGGCCTCACCTTTTCGGGTGGCGCCCCTTGTTTTTCATCGGGTGATGGACGAGGCTGTACGTCGTAGTCGTTGTCCTCCTCCCTCTTCACAGTACAAACGACGCATCTGACTCATAGACCTGGCCAAATGTGGCATTCTCTGCAGATGGTCACTTGTGGTTGGGTGGCAATGGCGGTGGCTCGAGTTCATCGCGCCGCACCGGCGAGCCCAATCCGGGGAGCTATGCAGTCGTTCCTTCAAATACGAAGACGTTGTCCTTCTGCGACCCCTGCGTCAAATCCCTTGTGCGTTTCGGACCCCCGCACAGGAAGGAAATGACGGCCCAGAACATTTGCTTAATACTGCTTGTTATGCTCAATACCATGTCTTTTGCTCCGTGCCCTAACCATTGCAGCTGGAGTGCCTCATTGGCTTCGTACCTGGTGCAGGCTGCGCTTACGGTTGGTGCTTTGTGTTTCGCATCCTACCCCCTCTCACACACTCTCTTACTCTGCTTATCGCGGTTTGACTGCACTTGATTTTACTTCTCGTGTACCTCTTGGTGCTTCAACGTAATTGCAACGTATTCAGCTTGTGGTGAAGGTGCCTCGGCTGCCCCTGGACGCTCACGCTGGGGCAATTTGTATGGCGGTACGTCCATCATTTCACGTGCGCTCTCGCTGCAAGCAAAGTCAAAGTCAAATTTTATCCAATCATCTCTCGTCGTGGGATCAAGAGCTTGTCTTTGTACTTGATGGTTGGCTTTCACGTGGCACTAACACTATTTCCTTTTGGTCACTCTGACTACTGCACAGTGTCCAACTGCGTGCTGGCTTGTTTGGGGGGGCCTGTGGCCAGTGCTGCCATGTGTCTCTGGACCGTGGGCCGTGACTGTCTTGGCCTGCCCTTGCCCGCAACGCCATCGCGCCGTCGCCGCGCAACCTCACCCTTGGTGCAAGCCCGTATGGAGCAGACTGTTGCGCTGAGCGAAGCGTACCGAAATCAATTGTCCATTTTTGCCCTCATCTACTCGGGCCCATTGTATTTCACAACCGCTGATGGCCTCACACTCAATGAAGATGCCAACAAGTGGTTGAGCCTTAACGACAAGGAGTGGCAAACCCGCGTGGGTGCCTTCTGGGCGGATACCTCGGACGGTGGCATCATGTTAACCCCAGCCGAATGCCGCAACCTGACTGATGCGCCCCCGGCCACTTTCTCGGTTGAAGGCGTTCTCAGTGCTGAAGCAGTCGCACACTTTTGCGCACGGTGGAACAACACACAAGTTTATTTCGACCAAGGCATCACCTCCATGGCCGATGTACCCGAGGGTTGGGATACCAACTTCATTCCCCATGATGAATACTATGCGCGCTGGCAGCAACTCCAAGCCGATTACAGCAAGCTGCCACACAATCCTGATGGAACGGCCAGCTTTGACGATCAAATGTATCGTAGCTACATTGCCACCGAGGACGCGGCCCTTGAAGATGAGGTAGGCAAGTGCGTGGAGGTGCGTGTTCGAATTGAACAGGAAATGACGCTCACGCGCACAGCCTTTGAAGGCTCACTTGAGCTTACCAACGATGCCGAGGACCCGCTGGAGAACATTCGTGTTGTCCTTTACATGCTGCCTCATGAAGAACGCAATGTCAGCCGCAATGTGACACATCTCTTTGTCATTGGTCAGCCGAGCCCCGTTTTTGCTGGAGGCGTTAATGGCAATGGCACGGTGCCTGGTGCAAGCTCGGGCAAGGCCACGTGGCTCTTCATGGCGTTGCGTGACGCCGCCCCGACTGAAGCGGTGCTTTACGATGTAGGGGGCGAAATCACATATACTGTGCGTGGTACAGAGTTTCGCATCACCATGTATCCAGATACCATCACCGTCTATCCGGACCCGCGTCTGCAGATCAAATACTTTTGGGATAGCATCGTGTATTCTGACGATCCTTTCACAGAGGAAGTTGAGCCGGCCATTCCATTTAGTCTGGCAGTCATGATTCATAACGACGGAGCGGGCACAGCGCGGGACATGCAAATTGTCTCTGGCCAGCCCGAAATTATTGAAAACAAGGATGGCCTTCTGGTCAGTTTCACCATTGTGCGGTCTCGCCTCAACTATGAGGAGATTTCAACTTCGTTGAGCGTGACGGTTGGTGAGGTGGCACCATACAGCAGCTCGGTGGTGCGCTGGGATATGGTGTGCCCCTTGCAAGGCCAATTCAAGGACTTCAATGCCACCATGGAGTACGAAAGCCCCCTGGGAGACCAGCGTCTTTCTATTGTGGACAATGTAACCATCTATCCTCTTGTTCGAATTGTGAGGTTTGAAGCAGAGAACGACGACGTGCCCGACTTTTTGACAGATGATTTTCTTGGAGATGCCATCCCAGACACGCTGCACAGCAGCTATGATAATAACGAGTACCCGCTGTGGACGTTTGTGGACCATTCTGCCGTCAACGTTTCGGGCCGCGTCGCCAATCCCCAAGGTGGTTTTTCAATCACAGTCATGGTTCCCATCACCAACGCTCCTACCTACGTTCGCATCGACGACCCAGTAGAAGATACGGTGCGCCTCTCATCAGTGCAACGTCTTGCCGACGGCTCGGGGGGCACGCTGCCCGGCGAGAACGTTTGGCGCACATACCGCGTCAAACGATCCGCCTCAAAGGTCACGCCGCTGGATTACCTGCACCTCTTTGATCACGCGTCAGCGGGTGTATATGTTTTGAACTTTGACGACTTGGCCCCCGTTTCACAGCTTACCGTGATTGATGTCAGCGAGTCTGACGCCACGGTCAGTGTCTTGGCTCATCAACTGTGAAATGTGCAAACTGCCGAAGCGTTCACCACCCGCTGAGTGTTTTCGAGCGCCTGCGCACCACTGGAGGCTCTCGGTGGTTTGGTTTGGTTTTTGGTCTTGTTTTTCACTTTCTTTTGTTTTTGCCTTGGTAGATTTTGTGGCTGCCATCGATTGGTGCCAACACGTACCGCATCACGGCTCGCCAAGCAGGAGCAGGGCAGGCATTTGCACCAACCTCAAACAACAGCGTCACAACTGCGGAGAGCTTTACGGGTGAGTTTGCGCCCATCTCATGTGCTGAGTTGCGTTTTTCACGTCATTTGCTGCATTTATTCGCAATTCACCGCTGCAAGGAGCGTTGCTGTTTCTCTCAACCATGTCAATGGCATGTGCGCCAAGAGTATCTGTCGCTGATGATTGTGTGTGTATGGTAGTTGAGGCGCTGCAACCAGCAACCACATACGAGGTCCGCGTACAGGCGGGTGTGGATGGTCAATTCGAGGCGGCCGGTCAGACGGTGCAACTCCTGACGCCTGGAACGCGGCCCTCCACCACGCCTGAAGCCACAGCCACACCAACACCAACTGTCACCTCCACGCAGACGGCGAGGAGCACGAGCACCGATGGCCCTGGTAGCACGGGAGGACACATTAGCTCGACGACGAGCCACACCAACGCTGTGGGCTCGACCACTTCGGTAGTTGGTGGTTCAACGCCCCACGGTGCGAGCACGTCGACCCCTGTGCCTGCCTCGACCACAGTAGCCACTTCAACCACGATGGCGTGGGCATCCATCACGCTCGACTACGACATTGCCGCAACAGCCAATCGCTCCCTGCTCAACGATACAGCCGCCATGCGCTCGCTCATTGCGGAGCACCTAGCCAAACTTGATGGCTGGTCTACACTCGATGCCTACGAAATCGTCGTCTCCCCCCTTGGTGGGGGCGTCTCATTTTATCGCATTCAAGTCCGCTTTCGTGGCGCAGGGGCCGCCACGCTGGAATCTGAGGTGCGCGGTTCTTCGCGGTCATGTCTTGTTGTGCTTGTGCGTTTGTTGTTTCGGTCGGTGCCTGTTTGACGTTCACGGCTCACTGCGTCTGTATATGGTGCCGGTCTATCTGTAGCTGGAAGAAGAGGGCTTGGAGCTCAGCGAGCTTGGGCTGGCGTCGACTGGCCACACCCCATCAACCACACAAGCTGCCAACGAGGCCTCTTCGGATGACAGCAACACTGGCATTGTAGTGGGTGTGGTGGTTGCTATTGTCGTAGTACTGATTGCTGTTATCGCGTTTTTCGTCCATCGAGCTCGCTCCGGGTACGTCTGCGAACAAAATGCGTCTATGACTTGACGTCACTTGGCTATGCTCACTTGCGTTGCTTTTCTGTTTTCCTTTTTTTTTTTTTTTTTTTTTTTTTTTTTTTTTTTTTTTTTTTTTTTTTTTTTTTTTTTTTTTGTGCCTGTCGCCTTGGTAGGCCACACAAATCGGCCACGAAGCTTGGAGACAGCAACACCAATGAGTACGCCAATCCGGTGTATGCGTCCAACATGCAACTGGAGAATATGTCTGAACCGCCCCTGACGCGCACACCGTCGGTGGTTCTCCGCGGCTACGACGGCCCAGTCTGTATGTCTGACTCTGTATGAACCTTTCTGTCATCAAGGCCACCACCCCTTCCTGACTCCACCTTCATTCCGCCTGGGCCTGTCGATACGTAGCTGATGTATAGCTGTTTGATCAAGACAGAACAATCAAGTGGCAACGCACGTGACGGCTCGGGGCAAAAATTACATAGGCCCGTCACACTGGCTGTTGTCATACCCACCATGTCTTGCGCGTTCTGAATGAATACACGCGCAAGTCAAGTTGCACATTGGCGGTGACATGACGTTTAATTTTGCACAAAAGTGATAAGTCTTCTTGCCAACTCGTGGCTGTTTCCCGCCCCATCCTGAAGCAGTCCTTTTGCGCCGCTGCTGTTCGTTGTGATCTTTTGTTGCATGTCCTCTGCTCTTGTTTGTCAATTGATTTTTTAATTTGGAGGAGAAGAAGCATTAAAATGTGTAAGGGCGTGTTTGGAAAAGCATAAATCTGTATTTTGTGGGTTTCTATGTGGATTGGGTGCATGTGTGCTCTTTCGCCTTGTCTTTGAACGAAGGCGTTGGGACCAAAACTGATGCTGTTACGCCTCAATCACTTTGATCTGTAAACTGGTTGTCAAAACACAAAAGTTGTCAAGAACATGGAGAAATGATCAAAATAAAAATCTGACACTCTCTTCACAAAGTCGCTGTAGACAAAACTGCATATCGATTGGTCTAGTGACAATACCACTGTGGGGACTGGACTGCCAGAAACATAAAACTCTGTTCTTCCAAACTCGTTTCCCATCTTAAAACGCCCAAATTCAGCTTAAAATGCGATTTTCTCAGTTCGACCAAAAGCAGATTTATGCTTTTCCAAACACGCCCTTACACAAATTTTGTTTGTGTTTGATCTGTCTGCCCGTGCCACCAAAAACATGGGCGGGATAGTGCCCGTGCAAGCGCTCCTACTGGGGGTATTGGCGTTGTGTCTCGTCAGACAGTTGCCATGCGCGGCGGCGGATATGCCTTGCGTCCTCGATGAACGGGGCATGGGAAGCTATCGGTTCCCAGAGCTGCCCCAGCTCAAGGGTTGGGTGGCTTCCCAAGAAACACAGATTGTGGCCATTGATGACCATCGAGCCGGCTTGGCCGTGGTTCAGCGTCATCCTGCGACAGCGGTAAGCCCGCTGCTTATGGCATTTCGCGCTGGTGGGAGCACGCGACTGAACTCACGATCTTGATCTTGTGAATATTGAATCAACTTTTGCTCGATTGATTGAGTAGACCTGTCCAAAGGGTCGGGCCACCGTCACACAATACGTGTGTGACAGAGCGCTCACTGGAGTGCAGCCCCGCGGCGCCGAGGGCTGGCTTGACCCGTGGTGCGTGACAGTCCAGCGCCACGAAACGCAGGCTGCCTGTCGCGCCGAATGGAGCAAAATGCCATGCGCCACGAACCAAGTCCCCGTTCCTACCCCTGAACAAGCCGCATATCAGCGTCATGAGATTATGGGCGTAAGTTTGACGCCGAAACTATTGCATTGACCTTGATCTTTTCATGAGGAATATCGCTGCAGATCCTGCCTTCTGTGTGATTGCCGCTTGCTTTTGAACGACTCTTTTTCTCCACTTACCCAAGACCTGCCCCGCTCTGGCTTACGTCTTGACTTGGCGGCGTTGCTTGATCGCATGGTAGTTGACACACTTTAACATGGCTACTTTTGTGGAGGACGGCGATCCAGCTTGCAACCCCACCAACTGGAATGTGGGTGTCCATAGCTCACACGCCTCCCTTTTTGACCCCACACGGCTAAACATCTCCAACTGGGTTGAAAACTACCGGGCTGTGGGTGCCAAGCACGCCGTCCTCACCGCCAAACACGGCTGCGGCTTTTTACTCTGGAATACCTCGACCACCTTGCCAAATGGAACGGAGTATCCCTTTGCAGTGGCACGCAGTTCCTACCCAAGCTTTCAGCGCGACGTCATTGCCGAATTTAGCTCCACCTTGGGGGCAGCCGGCCTGGGATATGGCTATTACTACAGCACTGGCAACAACTACTTTCTCAACCGAGATGGCTTCAAGCGCATTGGCAACCCCTTGCCAGGCCAAGTAGATTTAACTGACGAACAATATAATACCCTGGTCTTTGAGCACGTCAAAGAGCTGTGGACGCGCTTTGGATCGCTTTTTGAAATCTGGTTTGATCATGGGGTCTCTGCGGATCAGGATCAGCAGCTAGCCGCTTTGCTCAAGCAGTATCAGCCCCAAGTCGTGGGCTTCAACGGACAGGGGATCATGACCAGCCCCATCAAGTTCGTACCAAGCAAACCCGCTGCTCGATGCGCTTTTTTGCTTCACTCTTCTTGACTTCACCTGCGTGTGGGTTTTGTGCTGGTCTTTCAATTGTGGGTGAAATGTGCCGCTACACTGCGTACTTTCCTTACCTGTGTGCCTGCAGGTGGGTGGGCACGGAAAGCGGCTTGGCTGGTTATCCCACTTGGGCGACGGGCTGCTCTGTTGCCCAAGGCGATCCAACTGCCAGCGACTACTGTCCCGTTGGGGGTGACACCTACGTACGTCCAGCGATTGAACAGGGCATCCTGACGCCTTTTCATCTCACTCTCGTGCTGCATCGCAATGAACACTCCTAAACTTTGAACCCTGCAGGTGCAAAATGGCCATTGGTTTTGGCGGCCTGGATTTGCTCTTCGCTCCGTGCAGCAGATGGTGGAGGTGTGTTGGAGCGACGAGTCCTTGACCGCGGTCATCTGATCGCACTGACAAGTCATCTCACCACTCCGCGGCAGGTGTATCACATGACGGTTGGCAACAATCAGGTGCTTGAGCTGGACTTTGCGATCGACGACACGGGCAATGTACCAAGTGATGCCTCGGCGGTGTACCACGCACTTGGTGCATGGGCTCGAGCGTGCTACGGCATGCCAGTAGCCAATATGAGTGGCAACAGTAGCTCAGTCTTGCTGACCTTGCCATCGCCAGCCACTCCTGTTGATCGATTTATCTTGCAGGAAGACATTGACTTTGGCGAGCGTGTGCGACAATGGCACATCGATGTGCAGGTGGAAACCGGTGACTGGATGCCCTTTGCCAATGGCACGGCCATCGGCCACAAACGCATTGTCCTGGGCTCGGGGCCAAGCAGTTCGCTTACTGCAGCCCGCCTAACCGTTGACTCGGCCGTAGCTTCGCCCGTCATTCTCGCCTTTGCGGCTTTCAAGCCCTGTCCCGATCCCTAGTTGTGCCACCCAATCGATGGTGCACCTGGCGTCGTATTGTATCGGAATTGATTGGTTATCAATTGTCTCAATCCTGTATTTGATGCTATCGAGCGTGATCGCGGCCTGACTGCGGTGCCAATCGGCTTAGCTGAAGCTGGACGACTCTCTATTATCTCTTGACATCTGGGTCCGAGCAGCGGGGCGCGCGTGATTGCGGCGACGCTCCGAGCTCCACTTTTTTCCTTGGGTCGGGTGGCCATGCCGCCCAAGCGCAGTGCCAAGGACACAGTACACGAGTGTGTGAAGACAAGAAGCAAAAAAACAACACCTCTTCGTCTAATTATAGCGTATGTCGCTGAGATTGAAATGGACCGTCGAACATAAATAAAAGTCAGTCATTTCCATTTTCCATTTTCATTTTTTTTTTTTTTTTGAACTTGGTTGCTGTTTTTTTTTTTTTTTTTTAATTGGCACCGAGCATCATGGCTGAATTTTCAGCATTGATGGAGCAAATGAAGCAAATGCAGCTCCAAAGCACAAGCGAGGAACAACATCGCCACATCCAAGCTCAGATCCAAGCTCTCATTGAGCTTGAGCAGCAGAGGCTGGCCGCGGAAGCCGAGGAGCGCAAGCTCGAGCACGAAAGGCTGGCCGCGGAAGCCGAGGAGTGCAAGCTCGAGCACGAAAGGCTGGCCGCCGAGGAGCGCAAGGAAGCACAGCTCAAACGGAAAACAGGTCGCGACAAGGTTCGTCGTGTTTCGTCTCGATTCGTTACAACCGACAAGGCCTGCTGCCTCTGTTGCTCACGTGGTCCGGTTGACAGATTAAAGTCTTGAAGGGCATGTTTGCCAACCTTGGGTGGCAACACGAAACGGCTTTATGGAACAAGTTGATGGCAATGGATGATGCTGGTTTTGAAGCATTTGTCGACGAAGTCGACAACATGCCCTCTGCCGAGAGGATGAACGAAGTGTACCCCTGGAAGGTGTGTTTGTCGTGACCTGGCCCCACATTACGTCTGCACTTGGTCATTACTGTACCCGCGCGCGCCTACTACAATCGGTAAGCACCTGTCGGGCAAGACTCACGCGCAGGATCGTCTTATGGTTGACATGCGTGTGCAGGCTTTATATGGACAATGCTACCACCGTCCGACTCACGTGGCCGGATGCCTTCAAAGGCGCCCTCACAAACCTTGTCTCTGACCACTGCAAATGAAGTTCTTGGCTCCGTGGTCGCAGAGCTTCCCTGCAGCCACCACTACCTTGCAGCAAAAATTGTCAAGCGCATTGATGATCTTTGCGCGGATGACCAGTGGGAGCGCAGCGAGGCGCTGACGAATGGCCTTCAGTGGGCGGCCAAAGCTCAACGTGACTCCCAGCTGACTGAACTCCAGCAGGAGCCCAGCATTTCTTCGCGAGTTTCCATCGTGTTGCAGCGCTACTTTGGTCTGAATGTTGTCCATCAGTACGCCATCGGTTCCCACAGCACCCACGTTGATTGGGCGGGCTTTGACGACAACCACCACGTTGTCGTCATGGGTGAGTGCAAAAAGAAGGAGCAGCCGTTCCATGAATACGGGGGCCAGGTTGCCAACGAGCTCTTGCGACTGGGGGCCATTCCAACGTTGTATGAGAGCAACAGCAACATACCGCTGCCTCGGCGGAAGGACATTTTGTGGCCCATCATCAACATCAACGTGGTGGGAGACCATGTCAGCGCCTACCTGGCTTTGCATGTGATTGATATTCCATGGGAGCAGTTTGAGAGTTGCCTGGCAGAGATTCTGCCATTGTTTGAGATTGACGGTTTGAACGCGAAGCCGAAGACATCGGGGCTGTTCTTCAGGTGCCGCGAACTTTGAAAAAAATCCGCGGCAGGTAGAAAGCATCTTGCGAGCTTGCAAGGAATTTGTGCAAGAGGATTTGGCGTACTTGCTGGATCGGGCAGATGCTCGGACTGTATTGCGGCCACGGCTGCCTCCACAACCATTTCCTTGCCCTTTTGACCACCTCTGCAAGTGGAATCTGAAGGATTCGTATGGTCCCAACGTGCAGGTCTACAGCATCGGGAAGCAAAACAAGGTGTTCAAGCACTTTGACTACTGGGGACGCACGGCAAATCTCTGCAGCAGCCTCTCGGCACAGTGTGTGTCTTACCAAGATCGCCGCTACCCGCCTGACGACCGAATCTTGACAATACTCAGTCAACTGGATGTGGCAGGCTCATTCTATCAGAAGTGGGAGGTGGCGAGGCTTGCAACTGCCGTGGATGTGCTCAGCTACCCTTACGTGAAGCCGGCAGACACCGTCGAGATTGAGCAACTGGTCCAGGTCATCTACCAACTGAAGGCCATCCATAGCGTTGACTTTGTGCACGGCGACATTCTTCCTCGCAACATTCTTTTTTGCAGCGACTGGGAAGGGCATCCTGCGGCCTTTCTCATCGACTTTGATCTCGGCAGGTTTCTTGCTGCTAATCCTGCCCACAACCCCGTCTATGCCTCCAATTTTGCCAGGGAAGGAGAGCCGCTGGAGCCTTTTCGTCACCCATTTGCCCGGCGGAATTTGCCAATGCAGAAGGAGCACGATGGCTTTGCCTTGGCACGTGTCATGGAGAAGTTTTTGCAGGACGACGAGGCTCGTCAGCAGCTGGTGGCTGCGTTGGAAGAGCTGCAGCTGGATGACGCTGCCACGCTGTGTCAGAGGTGCTCGCTTTTGCCGCCAGACAATGTTGCTGGGCTTGGCAAGGCCACGGGAAGTCCTCGACGTTAATGTGCCAACCTGGCCCTCCCCTTCTCCAAGTATTCCTGACCCTTGTGCTTATTTTTCCGGCCCATTTTGCGCCAAAGCGACGGCTGTCATCAGTTCATTGTAGTGTCATGCAAGCATGCGTCCCATGCGTCTTTGCCCGAACAGAAGCAGACCTATCAGATCCAAGTTTGCCTATTTTGAACACCATAGGGAAGTTGCAGATCATTAAAACCCGTTGTCTTGGGAGGAAAAAATAATGGTGAAACACGACATTGATTTTCTTCTGTTCTGTTCCTTTCGGTGCGATAACAGAGAGAGAGGGACAAGAGGTGCTTGCTTTGACAAATGGCAGCTTAGGCATTGGGCGCGGTTGTTGTACTGGGAAGTGAGAGCATACTGTACCGTTGATGCCCTGTTCACTCGGTCTGATGCTCTTGTCTACCTGACCCTCTTTTTGGGGGTTTTCAAGCATTCCATCATCCGGGAGTAACCAGAAACCTATCCCCAATCCCCATCGGTAAGCGGGCATTTGATTTCATCTCCGTTCTTGTCTTTTTGGGGCTCCGAACAACGCGGTGATTGAAAACGCAGGTCAGCATGTCATCCTTGTGAATTTCCGAGTACCCGCTGTCGCCCGGCAAGCACATCTAGTATGGGATTGAAAAACGGCAGGGCCCATCATGGCACACTTGTACCTGCTAGCATCACCCGCACGGCAGCCACAGCTGGCATCAACAGGATAACAACAGCAAAACGTTCAGGCTGCTTTAGGGCCAACTTCACATGTCAAAATAAATTACTGAAAAATGATCAAAAAAGCATCGAAAATTACGCCAAAATAGGCACCGGCAGTGCCACCATCTTGATCTACTGAAACGTGAAAGGGAGTGCTGATAGGGTTGTTCAAATGGCTGAGCTGTCTATCGGTGACCATGGGCCAGCCTCGACTTATCAGCACCAGCCAAGCCCCTGCCCCACCCTCCGAAGCATGAACCTGCTGGACGATTGCTGCCTCTTGGCAGTTGAGTTTGCGCGCGTGCCAGCACGTTAAGCATACTTTCGCGCAGCAGCATTAACTGCTTTAATGTATACACAAACTGTAGTTATATTAAGCTTACCTTGCCTTTAGATACGTACACTCTCAACAAAAACTAGATTAACACGCGCACAAAGTATCGAAATACATGACATGACTTTTCTTGTTTTTTTATTCGCGAGCTCTCGCTCCGCCGCCGCTCGTGTTCACTTTACTGTGCTTGAAAGGCGGGGTTGGTGCCCTTCTCTTTCTCTCTCCCTCTCCTTCGACGCGGTTGCGAGTCGTGCTGGGGCGTAGGTGGTCTGGGGTTGGGACGCGTCTCCGCTGGCTGTTGCTTGCGGGGACTAACACTTGAGCAAGCTTCACCGGTTGCTCGGAATCGATCATCATGGCTGCTTCAAAGTATCCTGCGCTCATGAAGCCGCTGGATCTTGGCTTCACCTCCATCAAGAACCGTGTCCTCATGGGCAGCATGCACACGGGGCTTGAGAGGTACGCAAAATCTGCTTTGTTGCAGTCGCGTGTCGCGTTTGCACCGCACAGCAAGGCGTCAAGTGTCCAAGTTACCTGGAAATCATCCGTCGGTTCACCCATGTCATTTCCTTAGCGGTCTCTTGCTGCCTAGCGGGCTGCGAGAGATGGCAGCTTTCTTTGAAGCTCGTGCCAAGGGTGGAGTTGGTCTCATGGTGACTGGTATGAGCCCTTGTTTGTCGAGCCACCATGTTGCTTTTGCAGTCATCCAAAAAACAACCCCCCCCCAAAAAAAAACCCCGATACCATCATCGCTCATGTGCAACACGCCCTCCGCTCTTCCTCACGCACTCGCCTTGGCTCCAGGTGGCGTGGCCCCCAACCGCACGGGGCGCGTCTCTCCATTTGCTTCCAAGCTGACCTATAGCTGGGAGGCCAAACGTCATCGCATCGTGACCGACGCTGTTCACGAGCACGGCTCAAAAATTGCCATGCAGATCTTGCATTCGGGCCGGTACGTCGGATTTGCTTGAAATGCATATATGCCTGCATCAATTCCAGGCCCCAACACACTCATCGCCACCATCCCGGGCTCACGGCATCAACTTGCTGTTGCACAAAAGCTATGCCTATCATCCATTTCCCGTGGCACCGAGCAAGATCAAGTCCCCCATCTCTTTTTTTACCCCACGTGCTCTCTCCGAGGCGGGCATCGAGTCGACCATTGATGATTACTGCCGGTACGGCTGATCAATGTCCCAATCATTAGATATGCGTTTGCGGTGGCTCTTGTTCTCCGTCGCTTTGACATCGATTGCATGGGGTGTGCATGCTTCCAAAGGTGTGCTGAGCTTGCACGTGAAGCAGGCTACGATGGTGTTGAAGTCATGGGTATGTGCATGGGTAGTGGACACCGCGCAACCGCAGCTATGTGGGGCGTCTCAGACGCTCATTCTTGCTCACATTATAGGCAGCGAAGGTTATCTGATCAATCAATTCATCGTCGGGCGCACAAACAAGCGCACGGATGGCTGGGGTTCGTCTGGCTCTGATAGTGCTCAGATTGTCCTTGCCGGTTTCGTGCAACATCTCACGGGGTTGGTCCTTCATCAGGCGGCTCGTATGAGAATCGGATTCGCTTCCCAGTGGAGATTGTGCGTCGCATGCGCGAACGCGTCGGCAAGGACTTTATCATCATTTTCCGCTTGAGCATGCTCGACCTGGTCGAGAACGGCAGCACCTGGGACGAGATTGTTCTGGTTGGTGATTGACAAACCGCCCTTCCGCACGCACCGTTTGCTCGCGCGCAGATGGAGAGGCAGGGACATATGAGTTTGCTTGACACACAGACGGACGCCTTGGTCTACATCCGTTTCATCCTCATTGCGCACCTGCCGTCTAGCTGGCCATGGAGCTTGAGAAAGCAGGTGTCACCATCTTGAACACGGGTATCGGCTGGCACGAAGTATGTTGACGCGAGTAGCTAGATTGATTCTTACCTCTTTCTTTAATGTGCAAATCACTGACGCTTGGTGGTGCAGGCTCGCGTGCCCACCATCGCCACCATGGTCCCCCGTGGTGCCTATTCCTGGGTGACAGAGCGCATGAAGAAAGAAGTTTCAGTTCCTCTAGTCACCGTCAATCGCATCAACACGCCTGCTGTCGCTGAAGAGTACGTGACACTTTATTTTGATATGAAGATAATCAATATTTTAGCTACTCATAAACTTCTTGCCGACATATCAATGTATCTTCCAGTATTCTTGCCTCTGGTCAGGCCGACATGGTTTCGATGGCTCGTCCCCTGCTGGCTGATCCAGACTTCGTGGTCAAGGTTCGCTGCAAACATTGCATGCATACTTGAAGAGGACACGCCCATCTCACTCTTCTTACATCACATCTCTTCTGGGGATGGCTGCCAAACGATAAACGATAGGCAGCATCTGGCCGCGACACCGAGATCAACACTTGCATTGCATGCAATCAGGCGTGTCTGGATCACACTTTCCAAGCCAAGCGCGCCTCATGTCTTGTTAACCCCATGGTGAGAGCTGCTTCTTATCGCAGCCCGCATCGACGTGATGCCTTGAGCAAATACAAAAAATACTTGAGTTTGGCTCTTCAAAGCTGAATTATACCGTCTTTCTCGCTCACATACGATGTAATGGTGTGCAAGGCGGGATACGAGCTCAAGTACAAGGACCTCATGAAGCCAACGACAAGCCCAAAGAAGGTAGCCGTTGTTGGTGGCGGTCCAGCGGGCATGTCGTGTGCCATGTATGCCGGTACGATCATCGCTGACATTCTGTAGAGCAGCGCACGTACCTGACACGTTTTTTCTCTCACGATGCATCTTACCACTCGTTTTTCGCTTTCAGCACAACGTGGACACAAAGTGACGCTCTATGAAGCTGGAGAAAAGCTGGGTGGTCAGGTGCGTTTTTTTATTGTCGCATTGTTGCTTCATCATCTCATTTTTCCTGGCCAAAACACTATCTTTTGCACCAAAAACGGCAGCGTCTCACTGTCGTCGTATCTGTAGCTGCATATGGCAGCCAGCGTTCCAGGCAAGGAGGAGTTTTGGGAGACGCTGCGCTATTTTTCCACCATGCTGGCCAAGCATGGCGTTGATGTAAGCGGAAGCACCGCGTGACTGCTCACACAACCCAGGCACACTGGCCATGGCTCACCAGGGCTGGTATCAGGTGCGCTGCAATACCACTGCTCAAGCTGAAGACTTGCACGGCTCTTTCGATGAAGTCGTCGTGGCAACTGGCGTCCTCCCGCGTCAAGTCAAGTTTGACGGTGAGTCTTATTTGCACTCGGATCAACAACCGTCAACTGTCCATGGGCAGGTGCAAACACCAGTGCCGTCATCATCGTACATGTGTGTATGGTCTTTCCCACGTCGAGACCGCTCACTCTTGGCCTATTGGGCTGTCAGGTGTTGATCATCCGAAGGTCCTGAGTTACATTGATGTTCTCCGTCACAAGAAGCCTGTGGGCCAGCGCGTGGCCATCATTGGTGCCGGTGAGTGTCATCTCAAGCTCGATTCAAGGCTCCTCCGGCGGTAAGATAGGAATGTACTCATCATCCACAACCAACTAGGTGGCATTGGCTTTGATGTGGCGGACTATCTTTCTCACGGCACCAACGATCCAAGCCTCAACGTTGATGCTTTCTTGCAAGAGTGGTACGTAAACTGTGACCAAGATGCTTACAGCATACAAAGTGGTGCTCCCTTCCTGCAACACAGTTCTTCAAAATGTGAAAAATCTCTTGACCACCCCGCCCTCGTGTGCTGTTGTAGGGGTATCGATAAGAGCCTCAAGCATCGTGGTGGTTTGCAGGGTGAGGAGCATCAAACTTCAGGCCGCCAAATCTACCTTCTGCAGCGCAAGGACTCAAAGGTTTGTGCGCGTTTGCACCGTTCAGACAGGACAAGATCAAAGGCGCCGCTACCTTTCTGTTCATCTCACTTTGTACCATTTTGGCCAGGTGGGCAAGGGCCTGGGTAAGACGACCGGGTGGATTCATCGCCTCACACTTCAGAAGCGAGGTGTTGAATTTATTGCTGGTGTGTCACATGCGATCGAAATTCGCTAGCTCTGGTCAAAGCGCGCAGTCAACATGTGGCACCAAATATCTCTGACCGGTTTCCCCTGAATTGTCTCCTCTCAGGCTGCTCATATGACAAGATCGATGACACGGGCCTGACCATCACCGTCAAAGATAAGAAGCGCACACTTGAGGTCGACACCGTGGTTGTATGTGCGGGGCAAACCTCTCTCAAGGCGCTTGAGGAACAGCTCAAGGAACTCGGCACCTCAACCCATTTGATCGGCGGTTCGAAATTGGCAGTACGTTATACCTCAGATTTGTGCTGCTTTGGTCAAGCAGGCTGGGTGATTACGAGATGCTATCCCTCTGCTCTGCTCATATTGTTTGAACGCTTGCTATAGGGTGAGTTGGATGCCAAGCGAGCCATCAAAGAGGGCATGCTCCTGGCCGGGTCGTTTTAAACCTTGATAACAGCCGTTGAGTTTGAGGTCCTCTGCAGTGCAGTGCCTATCATGTACGCTTTAGCGAATCGATTGGTATTTCTCTCTGACTACGTTCTCAACTCTATCCTCCGGCCTCAAGCAAACTTGTTCCACATCAAAATTACAAATATGGAAACGAAGCATGAGTTGCTTCACAGCAACGATTGTTGCCAACCAGCCTGTTTAGGCCTCCGAGTCAGAGCCTTGGAAGCTAGCACCTGGGCCCGCACGGCCACGTGACAGAAACGTCAAGGTTTGCGAATCATCCGAAGGGATGGCCGCGTCTTCATCATCGTCATCCGTCATGTCCACACCCGGACTGGTGGGCGTGGTGCCAGCCATGTCTAGGTCGGCCAGGGCCAGTGCGCTGCTGAGAGAATCGAAAAAGTCCAGCTCAGTTCCACTTCGCGGTGGCTGAATCTGGTTCCCCCGGTGTGCCTGAGGCACGGGGCGTGGTGCGCTGCGCGCTGCGCGCGCCTTGGAGGTCCCAGTGTCAGTTGGGGTACCCACACCATGGTGAGTGGGAGTCAAGGCCTCAATCGACTGTTCACGCGACAATGGTGACGGTCGGCCTTGCGTCGTTGAAGGAGCCAGTAATTCAGTATTCTTGACTGGGGGAGCATTGCTCATACTGGTGCGATTGCTGTTCGGTTGTAAATGAGTACTGATCTTGGCACCAGCCGACTTTAGCAAGCCTATGATGGCAGCCAGTCGTTGCTGTTGAGCTCGGTCAAGTGGCGTCTTGCCATCATGGTCAATCTGATTGAGCGGGGCCTTAGCCCAGATTAGGCGCTGGACCCAAGGCGCATCGTCCTTCATGACCGCCACGTGCAAAGGTGTAGCACCGGAATCAGGATCTTCTTCCCCTAGCATTGGGGCTGTGCAGCGCAGAAAAATGGCCAAGGCTACTTCAAGATCATCCTCGATGAGGGCATCAGAGAGGGCCTAAAAGCGAGCTAAAAAGTTAGACAAAGGAAAAAAAAAGCACGAGTCTTCACAAACGCCATTGATCAAGCCCCACTTCGCTCCGCTTACCTGGCCTGACACAGTCTCGGCCGGTGCGACCATGGAACGCCGAACATATTTTTGCTCGATCCATTCTTTGATGAGCGCTGGGTCTGAATCAGGGCTGGGCTTGGCATGTTCAGGTCGTGCTTCGTACACTGAGTTGACCAGTGCGTTGCCTGATTCATACATGAGTTGTAGTTGCTCCTCCGACCAGTCGTCCAATTCAATAGAGCGCACGCGACTAACGTGCACACCCTGCCATGTTCGAAAATCAGCCGAATCAGATCAGATCATATGAAAGCATTCCCACGGCCTTCTCGCGTCAGGGTGACCAAGTTCAACATTGTATCGCTCACAAAATTCATACCAGGTTTCGATGCACGCCAGAGCACTTGATGCAAATGAGTACACCGTGGTTGAGGGAGGCCCATGACGGATGTGGGGTGCCACAGTCGGCACACATATCGTTTCCGGCTACGGCACGAAGGCGCGCGTGATCCTCCGGTGTCAGCATGCGAAACGTGGTCATTCCAGCTTGTGAGGGCCGCGAGGCATTTTTCACGCCGGCAGAAAGATTTTTGTTCAAGCACGCCATTATCTCAGCTTCGATCGCCGCCACCCTACAAAACAGGCAGTTCATCAGGGTCGTCTGCATGTGACATATACATTGACTATTGCATGACGGCGACCGAGGTGTCAATCATTGGACGCACCAGTCATTCAGCTCATCGGACGACTTGCACTCGAGGCACAGTGTCGCGCCAGCCATGGTATTGAGGGTAAATGTATGCTTCTCGCGATTGGAAATCGATGCATTTGGCTTCATGGCACGAAGTCGTTGGGGCACGCGCAAGCTGGCATGGGCCAGGTCGATGGTTTTGCCCACGGCACCATTCATGTAGTCCACGTGATTGCGATAGTACGAGAGCTTGCCGGACACGAGTGTGACCCAACGACGCAGCTGCGAGGATCCTTTAACTGACATGCGGTTGCCAACCTTTTTGAGGAAACCCTGGAGTTGATTGCCACATGAATGAGCTTGATTTCGAACCTCAGCAGCAAACACGCAGCCAGCCCCCCCTCCCCCCC